CCCTTATTTAACGTTAAAACAGGAAGTTGGGAAATTTGTTCTAGACTGCAGGATATTGTACTTGCCTCGGGCTGGCGACTAGGCTAGTGTTTAGGTCTAACCCTTGTCATAGCCTCGAAAGTCTTTAGTTAGTCTTGATAATGTTAGGTTTAGCGATATGTTCCAAATGAATTGATTGTAGAAATGTAAAGTGTGTTTTGAATGGCTGAAATAATCACTTCCGGTATGAGAATTCTCTCCCATACATTGCTAGGCCTAATCAGCTTTATGCTTTCATTTTACGATCTCCTATCCATGTCAATGACTTGTCCCCAATGTTTCGATAGGTAGGGGTCATTGGGCCCCACTTTTCCAGTTTCTGAAATGAACACTGGCTCATGAATATATCCTGTTAAGTAAGTATGCCATCTTTGGTGTTCAGGTTTACTAAGTATTATGTATCTTATGATGATGTTATCAATGATACACATCACATCAAGACAGTCGGTTAGTACAACCCTACTGTAACTTGCCCATCATGGTTGGCACATCCTCAAGTATCCAGGGTAATATCTTTATTCAGTTGTGATAAATACCCCGGACACATTCGCCATCACCACACTCAAGATCTGGGTTAGAAGTGGTCTTCAGCAACTCATGCTTGTTGTAAGAAGCAACTAATAGGATCAGGTGGTCAGATTTGCCGACTTGCTTGATGCATGTCAAAGTAGATGGATGCGTGGGATGTCAATCACTGGATTGTTTGGTCCAGATTCAATTATTTTCATCATTTATTTCATCATCATCATTCATCATTTCAATATTTATATCATAATAGAATGGAGATAAAACGAATTGGATAATCAAAGATGTGTTTGGCAATGTACTGTCACACTTAATGAAATTAAACCAGGATGTTTGAGGTTGAACTTCATACTAAGCCATCTATTGCCAGTACTTTGTTTGCTGTCACCTTGACAACACTAATACTAATGCTACTGCAAACATTCAGCATGTTCAACACAGTTTTCTGACAGTATGTCTAGGTTGAAACTCGAGGTTGTGCTTTAAACAAATGATGTTACAATTTCTAGCTTAATGGGAACCCTCATCCATGAATAAAACATTAGATTAGTGTGGCATGACCTTTCTGTGTGTCATCATGACACGATGGTGTGATTTGTTGCACCTGCACCACTAAATGTCCTGGCCAAGAATCAATAATATACAGGCTACAGTGATATGACCGGAATAAAGGCATGATTTCAGATGCAATCTCTGTCACAATGGAGATATGTTTTAAGAGTTTAACTTATGTATCACCCCTTTAGTTTGCTAATTATGAGAAGTTGATACTTGTATCAAGATTTGATTAGGAAATTATTCTTTGATAATTTTTGCATGTTTATGAATTGTTGTCTTCGTTGTATGCCTTGTATGCATAGGGTGGTGGAAGCATTTTCTGGTCTTGCACAAACTCCACTGTCAGTACCTTACATGGGTACAATAGGGTTTGCCCACAAGAAACCTGTGTATAGTCTGGAAGGTAATTTAAGGTACCGACTTTTACTACAATATCTGAAAAACTATTGGACCTACTCCAGTCAAAGTTGGTATGAGATTATTAAACAGTCATACATAACTGGATATAACATTTAAAGACAATCGGTGCATGAATAAAAAATCTGTCTATTTAGCTATCACTATATTTCATCAGTAACCAGACCTGTTCATCACGGTGGAACGGGCATTCATTGTAACAGGTCTGGTTGTTGATGAAAGATAGTGATAGCTAAATAGACAGATTTTTTTATTCATGCACCATCTTTGATCTCATACCAACTTTGACTGGAGTCTGAAAGTTTTTCAGATATTGTAGTAAACGTCGGTACCTTAAATTACCTTCCAGACTTTAGTTAATATTGGAAATTGGAATCAGTTACATCCTTGGTGAAGCATGTCATTTAATTAATCCATCATGAATAATTTTACAATACTGCAATATTATTTTTTATAATAAAGATCTCTCTTTAATAAATAAATCCAACATAATAACATCAGCAAAGGTAGACATTAATAACGCGTAAAACAGGACTAAGATTCTATCTGTTACACACAATAACTCTTGCTATGGATGTCATGACCCCATTACGATACATCTTGAACCCCTTTAAACACAACCCTAGTATTTGGGACGAGAGGGCAAAATGGCCTTTTCAGACATGTAACAGTTAGAGAATATTGATGAAAGTAGTTGTGTCCTTTTGTCCAGTTTCAAATTCATGTGACACCTTCCTTCCCCGACCCTCCTGTTTTTCACAATGCTTTTTGCTTGAAACTGCTTTCAAATGGCTCACAGTACCAGGCCTTGGATTGTCTGGTCCAGATTCAATTACTTACAAGAGGCTAAGTAAGGATAAGAATTTATGGATGAACAACTTGTTCATCCATAAATTCTTATCCTTACTTAGTACTCCAACTTCTAAATGCCTATCAAAGAAGTTACAAGACGTTGTCATATAGCTTGAATATGGCTGAGTGTGGCATTGAGCAACAAACAAACACTATTGTCTCTGATTTTCATGCTCATTATTTGTGACCCACCAGGAGAAAGGGACCTGATGGGTGCTCAGATACAATTGTGCTATGATGTCATAAAGACATTCGACGTTTTATATTTTTCAGATTACGGACCCGCCGACTCTAATATTTTAGAAAATGTAAAAAATAATAATTTCATTTCCTTTTTTTTTTCCCCGCCGATAGCCACGTAGTCAGTTATTTTATTTGTGATCATCACCTTTTAATAAAAAAACATATGAATATACCGTTGTAAACTAGTAAAGAGTTACATGATCGATCTTTGTTGATCTCAAAGCCGAACATGAATAGCCTCTCTTGACAATTGTCCGTGTTGTAAGTGGTAGAATTTTTATTGTTACAAGGGGCTTTATCGTCACAAATGGCGGTCTTTTGAGCACAGAATATGTTCATAAGGTATGCCAGAGGCATTCTGCATTTTAAAAAAATGCATATGGCTTTCTTTTCTTCTTTTTTTCCCCCCTTCTCCAACTATGGACTTTGGGCTGAAAAATCCATAATCCTAAAAATAAAAAAAGCCTGGCCTAACATACTTCTGTAATAAAATGACTTGAAGCTTGTGAAATGTATTTTTGTGTTCCAAAGATCCTGTAGTTATAATGAAAAGTCAAAATGTGATTTTTCACCCATATGGTCCCTTATCTCATGGTTGGTCACCTGTGTAGAGATGCATAGTATACAACTCAACTTTTGCTATTAAGAACCACAATAATCATCAAAGGTGTGGTCCTTAACAACTGTTGAGTAGTAAAGTATATTAGGGTTTACAGCAATATGATTGATTTCAGAATAAGTGTCCATCAATTGCTGAGTGACATGTAGCTGCATTGTAACATTGTATATGTCCTGTATATTAGGTGTCTCGCTCCACCTGTGCCATGTATGAAAACATTGCGATACTTGAGTTGGAGAAAATTTCAAGCAATACTAGTGCCAACTGAGTATAGTCATATTTGAGTGAGTGAGTTGGGTTTAACACCACTTTTAACAGCAGTATTCCAGTTATGTCACGGCATGTCAGCTTAATGTGGGAGGAAAGTCCAAAGTGATGCAGGTCTCAGACGTTTACCACTTCGTTGAAACCCACGAGCACGGGTATGGTGCTGACAAACCTAGAAACACAATCGGGGCGAACCGGGATTCGAACCCACAATCATAGGTTTCTGGCGTGCCCAAGGGACACAACTCTGCACAGCGAATTGCGGCACCTTAGACGACTGGGCCACCCGTGCCCCCAGTCATATTTGAAGTGCAATGTGATATGTAACACGATATTCATTTTGCACCATTATTGGGTGAAATTCTCCATGTTCTTGTTGGTGAGGTTGTTGCCGTTGATCTGTGTGTTTTCAATTGACATGACTGGTAAAATCAGTGTCGTTATGTCAGATTTAGCATTTTGGTTTTTTAACATGTAAAGTAATGCTAACCACCAGAGTAGTTATCTGGCCAGGTTATTGCCAAACTTGGTAGATATTACTTGTTGAAAATAGAGGAAGCTGATGTATTACACGTCTCTCTGTTAAGACTCCTATTTATAGGAGCATGTTTCTCTCAATTTGTGTGGGGCAGCCTTGTGGTTATAGCATTTCTTTGTTACACCCAAGATGGGTTTGAACTTCCCCCATGGGTGCATTGCCTATTCTTGATGTCTTCTACCATGGAATAATGTTAACAGACGCAATAATCTGAACAGATTCCGAGGCATGAATGACCCAGTCATCTGAGGCGCCACAGATCATTGGGCATAATTGCATAGATGACTGTGGATTTAAATCCCAGTTCACCCCAATTATGTTTCTAGGTCTGTTAGCACTGTACCCATGCTTGTGGGTTTTACCATCACTGCATCACATCAGGCTTTCCTCCCACATTAAGCTGACATGCCATGTTTATAACTGGAATACTGTTCAAAGCGGCGTTATCCCAACTCACACATTATGTATGTGCATAACGGTATTCAGTCATGTCTTATTGATGCAAGTACTTGCTACAAACTGATCACACAAACAGCTAGTGTGTGTGGTTATATTGTTTTTGTGGATGAATATATATAACATCTACCACAGGATTTGCAATAAGTAATCAGTCATTGATTATAAAGGATAAATTGTTATAAAGGAAGTATGTTTTGAATTTTTTGTAAAGGATAAATTGTTTCTCAATGGGAAATTGTTAAAAATATACATGCATGGCAGACTTTGATTTTGTCCAATTTATATTCAATTCTAAAGATCTATTTACATGTTTGTTTTATGTTAGTGTGCTACTTTATCATGCTTCCACAAAGATTTTAAGGTCTTAAAACAAAGCAATCCAATTGTCCGAAGGTTGACGTTGGTGTCTACAGCATGTTGATTGCTGCAGGTGGGGACAGGTGGGTAGATTGTGTTGTCTATTGGCTGTTGTTTCTCTTCCAGCTTGTGCCCCAGCTAGTCAGAATACTGAAGAACCTCATCATGGCGGGCTACTCCCCAGAACATGACGTGTCTGGAGTCAGCGACCCCTACCTGCAGGTATGGTAACAGTCGTAGAACCACACCAGGGGTTGCTGGGGCAGAATCGGTCCCCCATGTTCCATGCTTTTCTCCATGTGGAAGTATGGGGTAAAATTGGCCAGTGCTTGTCTCATTATGGGAAGAAAGGGCAGAGTAGGTCCCAAAGTTTCCCATGCTCGTCTCCCTGTTGGCCTTCCAGGGAGAATAGGTACACACTACATTGATTTGTCCAGACTTGCTCAGAGGCCGATATTCGACCCCAAATCTGGAGCAAATGGCATTAAAAATTCCTAATTTTCCAATTCATGTTTATGATATATATAACTAATATTATGGCTTTGTTATGAGAATGTATTTCACTGATAACAGGTTCAAGTAAATAGGAAGAGGTCTTCATGCTTTTTCTTATATTCAATTATTCCGTACAATTTTGAAATACAGTGGTAAAATACTGCTGAATTTAAGAAAATCAAGAACTTTAATGAGCAGAATAAGGATTATATTTTCCTCAATTTGTCTGCCATGGGCACTTAGTTTAAAATCCTGGATAAATCCATGCAGTACCCAATGGGTCTCGGTGCTCATCATGCTTGTCTCCCTGTGGGGCCAGGATACCCAGTACCCAATACAATGAAGAATGTTTAATGTGTAAAGGCAGTTGGTGTCCATGGCCATTATAGGGCTGAAAGAATGCTAGAAGTGGCTTCACACCTTACGTCAGTCATAGAAGACTTTCCTTCAGATCTTTCACAATCCTGAGAAATTATAGTGTTACCCCATCCTACATCCTTCAATACAAAGCTTTAATGTATGTACAGTGTGTTAGTAATGCTTGTTCTGCTTTACTTGCAGGTGAAGATATTGCGCTTGTTGAGAATTCTGGGTAAAAGCGATACAGAGGCCAGTGAAACAATGAATGATATTCTAGCACAGGTAAGAAGTTAACAAGAACAGCTGTGTTATTTATTTTTGGAGATCGTATGGTATTGACGGCAAAGTGTGTGTAATATGTCCATGTTATAATAATCCCCTTCAAATATTCTCTTCTAGGTTGCCACGAACACAGATACAAGTAAGAACGTGGGACATGCGATTCTGTACGAGATTGTACTGACAATAATGGGCATCCAATCAGAAGCCGGATTGAGGGTAAGTACAAGGGCGCGATAATCGCACAACAGTGTGGATAGTACTCGTGGGTTCATTAGGCTAAGTCCACCAAAACTGTCGATTACAAACACTATTGATTCCATATATTGCGATTGTTACCTATCACTTGCCAGGGCCATGCATAATAACAGTGTATTGATAGTTCACTCAATAGTTATTTACTCAAGAAACAGTCAACATTTTCTCTTTGAAAGCACCAGGTTTATTTTATTTTTATTTATGTATTGTTTAACACCGCCCAAGCTATGAGATGGTGGTCTGTAAATAATTGAGTCTGGGCCAGAAAATCTAGTTTTTAACTTCATGAGCATCAATCCACACAGTTTAGATAGGTTGACATGCAATCAGTCAAGTCACCATGCCTTACCAATCCATTTAATCGCCTCTTGTTGATGGAGACCGATATTCTTACCCAGAATGCCGACAGGTTGTTCAAATGTGCTACAAAGATAACATGTTTTTCAAAGGAATTGTCTCATTTAAATCCTTTCTCAGTTCATACAGCCTTTATTCTCCTCGAAAACTCAACTGTAGTGGTTGCTGCTGTGATCTTATGTGATATGTTTGTACTTAATTTGTGCTGAAGTTGCTTTTCTTGTCTTGCAGGTACTTGCTGTAAATATCCTGGGGAGATTCCTTCTAAATAATGATAAAAATATTAGGTAAGTGAACAGTTACATTCAGTCAACCTCATACATCGATGCGAGGCCGTCGGGTAGCCTTGTGGTTAAAGCGTTCGCTAGTCACGCCGAAGCCCATTTCTGGTGTCCCCTGCCGTGATATTGCTGTAATATTGCTGAAAGCGGCGTAAAACCATACTCACTCACTCACTCACTCACTCACTCACTCACTCACTCACTCACTCACTCACTCACTCACTCACTCACTCACTCACTCACTCACTCATCTAACTATTAGATTAACTATAGTAATATGAAAGAATTTGTGTGTTTCTTAGTTTATTTTAGTAGTATATTTCAGGCAATATTGTTTTGTAGGTATGTTGCCCTCAACACGTTGTTGCGAGTCGTGCAGGCTGATTACAATGCGGTACAGAGACATCGAACAACGATTGTTGACTGCCTCAAAGACCCGGATATCTCCATTAGAAGGTGAGTTCTCACATTATCATGATGGAAACATAGTAATGTGACAAATTACATTGAACATGTATGCACAAAGTTGTGTTTTTGGAAATAGAGTAGACAGGAGAATTAAGTGTGCAGGGTTGTTGTGACAGTGACAGGAATTAACAGTTGGTGCTGTGTTGGCCTGTTTTCACTTTTTAACTTCCGGTGACCAAACATTACCATTCACACTGATGTTTTTCTTTGGGTCATGGGGTAGCCCTGTGGTTATCCTGTTTGCATGTAACCATGGTAACACTGAAGATCTGTTTTATTCTGAAACTATGATATACTTTCAGTGTTAGAAATTGATATAGTCCTTGCCGAACTGCCCAATAGTTAAAGTATCATAAGGACGAGTAGAAATTTCCCCTTTGTTTAGGGTTTTGCTATATGTTTTCTTCATAAGGACTAGTGGACTAAAGCTGTTAGTTTCTACCACTGTACTGTCATGGATTCCCCACATGGGTGTATGAAGCCTTTTCTTTGTGTCCTATGCCATGGTATTACTGGGATATCATTTAAAGCTGCATAACTCCACATCCAGGTTCTACTCTTTTATTACCGAATTATGCAATTATGTAAATTGGGATGTAATGTCATGTTGTCTCATGTTGCAGACGTGCAGTTGAGTTGTCGTTTGCGTTGATCAACTCCAACAATGTGCGTGGCATGATGAAAGAACTCCTCCACTTCCTGGAGAACTGCGATCTAGAGTTCAAGCCAGACTGCTGCTCAAACATCATCATGGCAGCCACAAAGTCAGTATAACGCTTTTGTATCCAGAGTTCATTTCAATAGTCTGAGCAGATTTGGTCCTCGTTATCATGTTTGTCATGTCTAAAAGGTTTGGCTATTTAAAGTACAACTTTTCTGCATTTCTTTGTTACATATTGATTATGCTCCTAAACCATCATTAAGTTATATAGCTGTAAGATTGCTGACTATGGCGCCTGTTCGCTCCCTTGTAAACAATATACAATACAAATATTTGTTTTTCATATGATCATTATTTAAAGTTTCAGAAATTATGGATTATACCCAAAATGTTTGTTATTTGGTATACTGTTTCGAATGAGCATGATGAGGTGTTAGATGTGTGTGATATTGAGTATTTTTCCCCTGCAGATATGCACCCAACAAGAGATGGCACATAGACACAGTTATGAAAGTTCTGACAACAGTGAGTGTTCAAGTCCTTCACTGGTTATTCATCATATTCTTTTCATGTACTACATCAGGTCAAAGTATGGAAGGCCTTGTGTGTCATAATCAGAATAAGTTGGGATAAAAATGAATCAGGATTTAGATTTTTTTCAGGTACCACGGCTCAGTTTACTCTCACAAGCAAAATCATTACTGCACTACTCAACTTAGGAATATTTTGAGTTCATGTGGGGATTGAAAGATACTGATTGCTTGTCATACATTAAGTAGTATTTAACATTTTCATGACACAATTTCTGCTTCGTGTTGATTCCCAAATTGAAACGATATGTTAACCGTGAAATCTGTATGTAAAAAGAACTTAGTGTGAAACCAACAAACAACCAACAAATGGTATACAATCAACAATTGTATTACACAATTAACTAGGTTTACATATCAATACAAATTACTGCACAGCAATTATAATGGCAGTACACAGTAGAGTGGAAGCACAATATTCAATGGCAGTATAAAAAGTGAGAGCAGTGGAAATGACAATGACAAGAATAATGATCACCTCACCGCATCAGTGGTAAAGCCTCCAAGATAGGCCTAGGCTGGAACCAGGGTTAAATGATCTTCACACTAAAACTGGTCTTGATGTAATGTCAGATGAAATATGAGATGAGACAGGGATGCTCCACTTATATAGTTAATTATCTTCCTGCACTTTCCACACAGTGCTAGACCAGTCCAGTGTCACTAGAACACCACAGACTGTTCCACATGTTTTTATAACATTTGACATGCTATTCTGGAAGTTTCAAGATAATTCGAGCATCTAAATATTATAACTTCCTCACCACTGATTACATTACTACATTCCTGACATTTAATCATTGTCCAAATACAATTCAATGAACTTCTACTGAATCTCAACAGAAACAGTGTAATACAGTTACAATCATTGTTTAACAATAAATTACACTGTGATATAACAATATTAAAATATGTTCACATTTCGATAAATTATAATCTGAGCTCTGTTCCATTAGGTCTGGTCTCGGTGTCCTGATCTTACATTGAGTAGCATATAAGGCAAGGATTCATCTTCCAACTCTTATTTCAGGCTGGTAACAGTATGCGATCCGAAATTGTGTCCACACTGATCCAGCTGATTTCTGAGGCTACGTCTTTACATGGCTACACAACTGTCCAGCTGTTCAAGGCCATTCGAGATGACCAATCTCAGCAGCCTCTAGTGCAGGTTGCCGCCTGGTGTATCGGAGAGTATGGTGAACAGATCTTCTCCGAGACCATTGAAGATGAGCCTCCATTGAATGTGAGTTGTGCTTGGATAGTAACTGATTGTTGACTCAAATGAGGTAATTTCTGGTTTGGGGGGGGAGAGCTCAGGTACTCATCACTGTGTCCATTTTGCTCAAATATATGATATAAATCGGAATGATTTGTAACGTGTGGTATTAATGGCCCCATGTTGATGTGTTGCCAGGCAACAGAGGAGGATGTGGTGCGAGTGTTGGAGAAAATCCTGGCTGGCAGTAATTCCTCCATCATCACCAAGGAGTACGCCATCACCGCCATCATGAAGCTCAGCTCCAGACTCCCACGCATTGTACCGTAAGTCTTTCCACCTCTTACTGTATGTATGATTGCATGAGGCTGATGAAATTGGGCAAATTGCCAGATTATCTTCATTAGATTGCCAGGGGTCCTTGGTCCTTAACCCTTGAAACAAGTGCACAACATGTTTGGAGAGATATTGTGCTGAGGCCCATATTCCTTGAAATTGCAGCACCCTGTGTTAGTGAAACGTGATCATAGGCTTTGAAATATAATCTTTGACTCTATAGGCGTTGCATTTGACGTGTTGCAGGAACATCCAGCGTGTGTTGGAGGTGTACGGAAGCCACACTGATGTGGAGCTGCAGCAGAGATCCGTGGAGTTCACCTGCCTCTTCAATAAGCATGATCACATGAGGTAATACTAGTGTAGTCCTTATCACGCCAATCTTCTCTTACCTTGACCCATTCACCACCATAGCCTCATTTTGATGTCCGGGGCACAGGTGGCCCAGTCGTCTAAGGTGCCTCAATTCCCTGTGCAGAGTTGCGTCCCTTGGGCACACCAGAAAACTATCATTGTGGGTTCAAATCCCGGTTCGCCCCGATTATGTTTCTAGGTTTGTCAGTACCATACCTGTGCTCGTGGGTTTCACCAAAGTAGTAAACGTCTGAGGCCTGCATCACTTCGGGCTTTCCTCACATTAAGCTGACATGCCGTGATATAACTGTAATACTGTTAAAAGCGGCGTTTAACCCAACTCACTCACTCACTCATTTTGCTGTCACCATCTCTAGCTCACTTTCCACCAACTGGGGACATGGATGGCCCAGTCATCCAAGGTGCCCCAATTCGCTGTGTAGAGCTGCATCACTTCAGCGTGCAAGGAACCTATGACCTTGGGTTCAAATCCCGGTTCACCCTGGTTATGTTTGTAGGTTTGTCAGCACCATACCCGTGCTCGTGGGTTTCACCAACTGAGACCTGCATTGTTTCAGGCTTTCCTAGGCTGACACATCATAATATAATTGGAATACTATACTGTTGTGTTAAAACCATCTCAGTCACTGGTTCACTCTAACCTTAAGGGGGGGGGGGGGGGGGGTAGCTAAGTCGAAGTTCTAGGGTACAATGTGTTAAGCCCATATTGTAGCATAAAACCATACTCCATCGCTCACTCTGAGATCCTGTGGGGATTCTGGGTTAGTAGGTCCCCAATCAACCTATGCTGGTTGTGAGAGTTGACTCGTACTCTGACAGCATAAATCATTGCTCACAATATAATCTCTTGACAGGGATAGTCCTTAGTACTGGCCTGCTAGCCTGGAACAGCTTTGTTGATGTTAAAGGTATCCTAATGGCTTGAAGAATTTCAAACATTTTTGGGGTACTGCTGCATGTTATCACTTTTGGGGCTAGTAGTTTTCCTTGGTTAATTTCTATTCCTGCTCAATTGCCTGGACCAGATTATTTATGGGCTGCCGTTGTATGGCTGTTTTATTGCTGAGAGTAGCATTAAACAACATACACTAACCCTGCCTCCTTGTCTGTGCCAACCGCCTCCATGGTCTAGTGGTAGAGCGTCCGCCCGGAGAGTGGAAGGTCCGGGGTTCGATCCCACGGTCGCATCATACCAAAAGACGTTAAAAGATGGTACTTGTTGTTACCCTGTCTTGTGCTCGGCAGTAAGGGGCTAAAACAAGGACTGGTCGGCTCAGAGTCAGTAATCTGTGTCTGAGAGCGGTATTCATGTTAAACTGCGGCATGGTATCTCAGTGAGCTAGCACTATAAATCGGCATTAGTCCGGACTAGTATAAGCAGCCACACAAACACATACACGTACATGCACGTCGCTATATAAGTGCAATAATCTTGGACGCGACGTTGAACCCAATTTCACCTCACCTCACCTCACCTCACCTCACCTCACCTCACCTCACCTTGTCTGTGCTTCCAGGTCTGCCCTGTTGGAGCGGATGCCTCTGCTGGACCATGCCAAGTGTCGCAACATGATGGAGAACGGGGAGATGGCCAACATCACAGAGGAGGATGACCTGCTCAACACCAACATGGTGGAAAGGACCAATGCCATGAACCTGCAGAACAATCAACAGACAGAGGTAGGACCGACCACATAGCCCAGCCTAGGGTGTGGACAATACTTTGTATGGGAGAAGACCTTTTTGGTTTCTTGCTTTACAGATGTTTTGGTGGAAAATTCTGGTCAGTGTGTAGGGAAATATGAAAGAAATTAGAGGATTTGTTTTTTTCTTCGGGAAGTTATTTCCCTATTTGTCCATATGTATAGTGTTTTTAAAGTTGGTATCATTGGTTTTTCAGATTTATGTATTCTATTAATCCTATGGGCCTAGTTTCCAATACTGACAAAAGTGAAAAGGAATAGTTCTGTGTATGTTCCAACATTGCAGTCGGCCAATATTCTGGATATTCTGGGTAATGGCATCTCAAGTCCGGGCAACATCACAAGCGAGCCAGAAAAGAGCAGCGGTGTTGATGACCTCCTTGACCTTCTGGGTGACCTTGGGCCAATCAGCTCTCCAACAAACTCCGGTAAGGACATCTTCAGAGGAATAGTTCTGCACAAATGTGTTTGTTCCATATTCTGGTCTGTTAGATCTGCGGGTCTAACTACTGCTGATTATGTGACACGGGACATCCTTACAAATTGACCTCCATTGTATAGAGACAGCTTATAATCAGGGGACGTAGACTTTCTAAACTTATCGAGGTGTCACAATGACATACAGAACTGTGGATCGTCACATCTAGGACACTTGATGTTGGACAGAAAGCACTTTCTGAACTTATCGAGGTGTCACAATGACATACAGAACTTTTGATCGTCACATCTAGGACACTTGATGTTGGACAGAAAGCACTTTCTAAACTTATCGAGGTGTCACAATGACATACAGAACTTTTGATCTTCACATCTAGGACACTTGATGTTGGACAGAAAGCACATTCTAAACTTATCGAGGTGTCACAATGACATACAGAACTTTTGATCTTCACATCTAGGACACTTGATGTTGGACAGAAAGCACTTTCTAAACTTATCAAGGTGTCACAATGACATACAGAACTGTGGATCTTCACATCTAGGACACTTGACAATGAGTTGGACAGTAAGCATTTTGTTCTTTAGTGTGTCATTGTCACATGATCACCAACTGGAGTTGCAAATCTAGTATTGTTGTAGGATTTGGTGCGTACAGCTTGCCTCATTGATTTAACGTGAAAAGATTGTGACTTGTGTTGTTGCAGTGCCGGTGCCTCAGAACAACCTCATGGAGGGCTTCATACAGCCGTCCCAGCAGCCCCTCAGCAACCAGATGAATGGAGGCACAGGTACTCTCACCTTTACTGTCATACTCAGGGATTAACCAGGGTGCTGTTGTACAAAACAATCTTAGCGCTACGACTGTCATAAGTCTGTGTTAAACTATGGGAGTTACGATCACCTTAGCGCTACGATCGCTTTGTACAACGGCACCCTGGCTTAATTATGTTGGGGGCCCAGAGTTTAGATTGGGGTTCCAAGCTACAAAAAGGGGTCCTTGAGAAATGTTCAGTACAGCAATTCAGATAAATTTAGTCCATATTATCCTCAGTGTTTGAGTAAACTTGTACTGCCAAAACGTTTTGCAGATCTTGATTTGTCATTCTTCGTAGCACACGCTTGACCAGATCATTATAGAGATGGTGCTCTTCCACAAGGAACCCTCGTGTTAGTTTAAAATAGATATGAAACACCTGGAAGCTATTTGAAACCATACTCATAAACCATTGATTTCAACAGGCTTCCCGCCAATTGTGGCTTTCAACAAGAATGGGCTGCTCCTGGAGTTCAAATGTGAGCGTGATGGAGGCCGAGCTGAAGTCACCATCATCAACATGAAAGCCACCAACTCCTCTCCTACTCCAATCTCAGAGTTTGTTTTCCAGGCAGCCGTTCCAAAGGTGTGTGAAATAGTTTATTGAGCACATGGATAACGCATTGATGTATGGAGCTTGTTTTGAGTAGTTCCTCCCAGGTGACCATATTTCAATTATTCGGATCAGGATATGTTTACTGGATAGATTTATTGCATTGAAAATACTGTGCATTATATTATCCAATGTTTTCTCTGTTTGCAGTCATTCCAGCTGCAACTTCAGTCGCCCTCGGGTAACGCTCTGCCACCAATGAATGATGGGTTTGTGGAACAAGTCATCTGCATCCAGAACCCCTCCAAGGTCAGGGCAATGACATTGCCAACAAACACATTTCTGATTCAGGTTGTAGATAGGGCACAGTTGGCCCAGTCTTAGATGCCTGTTTTTCGCTATGAAGAGTCACATTCTTTAGATATGGCACAATTCTATGATCATGGGTTTGAATCCCAGTTTCTTGGTTTGTCAGCACCATACCCATACCTGCGTCCTCCCACATCAAGCAGACTTGTTGAAATATGACTGAAATGCTGTTCAAAGTAGTGTTAATCAACACTACCTGGTGGTTTTTGAATGGACTATTCAGTGGTCAAGATGGTTATAGTGTTCACTCACTCATACTAATTGAGAACAATGTGTAAGCCCATTCTGGGTGTTTTGTGGGTAACATTGGTCTTCAGCAAACCATGCTTGTTGTAAGAGGCGACTTGTGTTTGTTTGTTGTTTAATGCCGCACTCAGCAATATTCCAGCAATATGATCGCGGTATGTAAATAATCAAGTCTTCACCAAACAATCCAGTGATTGATATCATGCAATTGGGATAGGATGACATACATCAACCAAGTCCTGTACCTGACCACCCAATCCCATTAGTCGCCTCTTACGACAAGCATAGTCGCCTTTTACAGCAAGCATGGGTTGCTGAAGACCTATTCTACCCTGGAAGGTGACTAATGGGATCGGGTGGTCAAACTTGCTGACTTGGTTGATGCATGTCATTGTATCCAATACTTGTGTAGATTGATGCTCATGATGTCAGTCACTGGAATGTCATCTTGACTCAATTATTTACAGACTGTCATCAAAATGCTGGAATATTGCCGAGTGCAATGTTACACAATGTACAAAAAAGTCGACCAACTTATCCCATCTGACATCCTCACAATCTTATTCTCTACGTCTTGTTTTACAGCAAGCCCTTCGAATGAGGATACGAATGACATACACCCAAAGTGGAAATGCTATTACAGAGATGGGTGAAGTTTCCAATTTTCCCCAAGGCCTATGGCAATAGCATAGTGGTTGGCTGTTCTGTAGAGATGACAAGTTTGCCCAGTCATGGCTTCAAGTCTTTCATGGATGCCAAGTTTTGTATAGTGAGTTCTTGGGAGCTGTAAATCAAGTCCGGGACAGTTTCTCCATGATGGACTGACACACAACTGGAAGTGACTGAATTCCAAGGCAGATCTGATGTTGTGGGCCTGCCAAGCTGAATTGTGTGCTAATAATTTGATGTTAATCAGATCTCGCAGTGCTAAATTTTGTCTGTCAACCACTCCTCTGATCAACTGGTGGATATTCACTGACTTCAGCAGTTAATCATGAACCAGGTACCTATGTCGTTATAGGTATGTTTGAAATCTTATCTTAGTATTTGTAGCCTGTATGCTTCGCTCCATGCTACGGACGTCGGCCTTGTTGTGAACATGTTTATTTATAAGAAATTTGGACAGAGGAAATGCACATGGAACAGAACTATCACATATTTATGTTTTGTTTTTGTTTTCAAGATGGGCACAGAACAGTAAAATGCAACGTTTGTATTTTCTGTCACATAGTTTGTGTTTATTTTGTATATACTATTGATTATAGTCGAACAGTGCATGCAAGTCTGTTGGTGAACTCCGATGTATAATCACCCACCTCGCCATCATCAACATGCTGTGACGCCTTCATTCACCATCATTGTAGGAATACCCAAGGCATTGAGTAGAACAAATAGTAGATCAAAATATGCATGATTGAAATTGTAATTAATAAATATTTGTATATTCTTTAATTTATATAATCTGCCTGGAGAAGATGTACATAAGATCTAATACTGACTGTACAATATTCCTATATACGTCATATTTATGATTGATAATACGTGGGTCACTGTGGCAATATATCTGGGTAATTGCTCTTTTGGAGTGGAAGGAAAAGGGATAGATGTGAGTGGTTACTGTTTCTCATGGTTGATTTGCATGTTAGATCTGAAATTAAGTTTCATGCGACGAAACAGATGTTGAGTTATTATTAGGTTCAATCTGCTTCTTAAAGGGGGATTATGATTAGGGCAGATGGGCAGTCCCATTTAGTTTTATTTGTTTCATTGTAAACTCACTGTCTTAATTTTTCTGGCGTATATCAATCTCACAGTTAATTATTATCTGTATGACACACACAGTGTCTCAGTTTCGCATATAGCTTTAATTACAGTCTCGAGACCTTGAGACTTGAAATGTGCACCAGACCACTGAGCAGAGTGCACCTTTAAGACCTTTTCTTGCAAGTTAGGCATGAATATGAAAGACTTCTCTCAGTCTGAAGGTCACAAAGGAAACAAAATCACCCATTTATTAAAACTTTGGCAAGAAGCAAATAGTGTCCGCTGTGCAAGGGATCATCATCAGTTTGGAATGAGCTTTAGAATGTATTTATCAGTATGCCCTGCCTTTAGCCAAGATATGCAAGTAGCAATGTGTCTTGTACTATCATATGATGAGGTCACCATTGGACAGATGTATCGACACCTCAGGAGTCTTTCAGGATTCATGCTGAGGAGGACAGTTCAGTTGCTTTGATGGTATCTTTTGCAGCAAGTTGCTTTGAGAGTATTTTTGGTGACAAGAGGACATTATTGCCTCTTGTACTAAGGACTTTTGTGTGACACAGGACTTGGTTTGATTATGTTGGTCTAGAACCCATTTATTGTTGATGGAGGGGCTGTCTTAAACTTTGTCTTATGTTGCAGAGAACAGGGTTGCAACAGGTTTGGCAAATGAATCCATTGACAGGGTGTAAGGTACTTCAAACCCAATGACTTTCCTTGTAAGTCAAAAGGACAGTAGCAAAAACACTACCATCCATTTGTTTACTTGGAAGTGTCTCCTGTTGCATGTCACTTGCTCAATGCATGACAGCTTTCAGCATTGCCATTTCTAGGACTGTTGCAATAGGGTTAGTTATCCTTGAGCAGGAGTTGCAGAAAAGTGGTCCTGTGCTTGAAATGTTTGGATTTATCTGGAGGAATCCTGAATCGTGCAATCTCACCTTTGTTGACTTTCCTGCATTAAAGAATGAGTGAAAATGTGACGTCGCATCCGCAATATTTCAGCCATATAGCAAAAGGACATTCAGTGCACTGAGGATACAGCATGAAAGGTTTAGATTAAGATTGTCCTATCCAAATACTGACTTATCTTTTGGATTATTTTATAACCGGTAAGAGCTTTGTGTCGATAGATCCCTGTTCTGTGGCTGCATGTGTCCCTGGTTGGCCTCTGAGTCGGCTGTTTGTCGATCTGAATGTCTGCATTTCATCAAATCATCTCATGATGTCATTCCAACCCTTGTCTACACATTCTTCATATTAAAGTCAATACCGTCAGGTTCAACACAGGCAGTGGTTCATGTTTTCATATATTATCACTATTTATTTTCCAGCTAGAAAATGTCTTCTCACCAAGGTAATACTATTTTTATCATGAGTATTATTTGTGCAGATTGATCCTAAAACTTTGAAACTAAGGGTCATGGAACCTTGAATATTGTCATAATCTTTTTTAAAGTTCCATTTATATTCTTTCAGGCCTGCTTTCCAACAAGACCTGACTGTAAAATATGGCTATTGATTTTGTTGTGATTGTTTTGTGCTATTGTTGTCACAGAATGCATGTTCTAGACCAGGAAGATGGTGTACATATTCAGATAAAATTGCTATTTGTAAAATTCAGCTGTGCTTTGTAGATACCGGATGAAGTATTGATAAGACTGTATATATGAACTAAGCCTGTCTGTGTAAAATACTGTTTTTCTGTGCAAAGTGGTCAATCACCACCGTGATGAAGAGCTATGGTTCATTATTATCCTTCCAAATAAAAATTCATGTCCAAATACACCAGTGTTCAATGTTATTATTTCAAACTCCGCAAGGGATGTCAGGGTTGGGTAACAGAGTGGTTAAAGCGTTGGCTCGTCACGTTGAACACTTGGTTCGAGTAACCCTCATGGGTACAATATGTGCAGCCAATAACTGTCATATTGCTCCGAAGCAACGTGAAACCAACCTCACTCACTCTGCTAAAGGTCTGGAATGATACTTTTGCTTAACTTTATTCATATTTCATTGGTGGTTAACATGTTGATGTGGAATTTGAAGAATCTTTATATGGGGACAAGAATTTATCCACAAGTTAAATGCTCAATGTTGGGAAATTCTTTTTTCGGGAATTGTAGGATTAATTGCCAGTAACAGATGATATATTGTGAGAAAAATCTGAAAACCGATTCCATACATTTTTGAATTGCATTAAAGTCGGATTCCTCTGTTAGAATTTGAGGACACGTTGAATCAAACTTTGACTGGCACTGCATACGGGTAGTCTAAAAGAAGGATGCATGGATTCTCAAGCAATCAGAATCAATAATACTGGTTTTAATGCTTATTTGCACCAAGAATCTGTAAGCATCGATGTTGATTAGAAAGCTCAACTGGCACAACCTTGTATGGAGGTGTCCTCAGATCTTCACGTAGAAAGGTTTTGGAGTAAAACGAAAAGATCTGATTTTATTTTTAGACTGACATTTTCTAATGTTCTGCCTAATTAGCTTAACTAATATCAGCAATGGATAAGGAAACCAGATATGTAAAGGGTTTGTTTAACCCGACCATTAAATCATTGTGGACCGATGACATCATGCTGATTTATATACAGATTATATATTAGCATCGATTTTGAAGGCTTGTACAGGAGGTAGGTAGGGGTCGCTTTAAAGACAGCGATATAAGGTACTACTCGTATTTATATATACTTCTCAAAAGAAGTTAAAGAACACCAAATTCCTTCCTATTAATACTGTGGTATGGTATGCCATGACAGATTAACTAATATGACAGAGTAGTATAAAACGATTAATATTAAACCATGTGAAATGATTTTCAGTTGGAGCTATTTTGCTTTTTTCTTCTTATCATTATTCACTTTGATGCCACAGAACAATGTCCTCCTGATGATGTTTTGTATGAAGCAGTACATGACCTCAATACTCCAGCAGTGAGGTACACACATTCACAAGGCTGACCCCAGCAGGAGATCACCTGTTGATGTGGAGCAGGACAAACAAAGGCTGACCTATCTACCAGGGAGGCTTGTGTGTTGCATTGACATCATCCTGACATCCTTCCTTGGTACAAATCATCATTCATGATTTTCTTTGTGAAACATCAGTGAGGTGCCATGAGACGCCCTGTTGTGACACAAAGGTTACACAGTTGGTACAGGATTTTAACAGTTGTCTGCCATCATTGTGGTAAAGACATCTCATTTTTTAAGATAGATATTACAACTTGGACTTGTAGTAATTTATGTAATTTAAATCTGACCCACCTAACATGTCAAATGTGATTGGAGCACACACTTCACCAGCCACCAACCACTGGCGTTCAGGACACTCATACAGGATGTGGAACATAACAAGAAATGTTGTACAATATACGCTTTAATCAACTCAAATATACAGCTTCATCAAAATTCCTCTGAAACATACATTTGTACCAAACACGCTGTAGAAAATTACTGACCAACATGACCAAATACGACAATTCTTGACTCATGAAACAATTCAGTATGAGATTACCACTACCTACTTAAACTGTCGGTTCATAATACCGGAACCTACAAAATAGGTTTAGTTGTGTTAACCTAAAAAGATCCCATCACACAAGAATACCAATGTTTTCAAAATTGACAGACCAGCTTTAAAAAATAACAGGAAAGATTCTTAGCCTTTCAGGCTAGTTCTCCCACCCCTGACGAATGGGAACTGATCTTTCTGCTAGTGTTTCCTCATATTGGCACTCAGTAATGTGTGTAGTGAATCACAAATACCTCTATGGGCTAACTGAACATCAAGTCAGAAATTATTGCCTGTGAGATGGTCCAGTAGTTTTCTATGACACTTGATTATCCAGTTGGGCTCTTCTGCTTCTGAGTTCTTTGAGTTAGAGTGTTTGAAATTGAAAGGGGGCTCCTGGGATCCCCAAGGTTTGCTGCTGAAATATTTGCATCCAGGGACCCCCTAAACATTAACAGTAGGGTTAAGACAAGGACCTCTAGACTTTCATGCCTAATTACTACACTGATTAGCCTTAATTGCTGTAGACATCTTTGTTTTTGTTGACAATTCAAACATGAACCAGTTGTGCACAGTTTGTGCATGCAGACTTAAGGTCCGGATACACAAATTCATACCCACTTTCTAAAGTCCTTTTGGGCAACACTTTCTGACCCTCCAAAATGACCTTACCCCTTTCTTCCCCAAATACAAAATTCATGACGAAACCAGGCACAGGAAACAAGGCAGGCCTCCACATGGCACTGGCAAAGGCTTTGGTAAAGTCACTGTTGGTGGCAGCTTCAGGGGCCACTCCATTCAATATTCCCTTTACATTGGGGTTTAATATCGCGTGTGTGAACAGTCCTGCAATATCAGCCACATGTATCCATGGCAACCACTGGGATCCTGATCCTACCCGTCCTCCCACTCCCAGGAAGAAGGGTACAAACATCTGCTGAACCATTCCACCATCACGACCAAGAACCACACCTGGAATGAAGAAGCAGAATGGGGGCAACTTTAATACAATCTGACACACGTTTAATATCCATGTCTTCAAATTATGTTTATCTGTTATTTGTTGTTTAACACCACACTCAGCAATATTCCAGCCATAATGATGGCCAGTAAATAATTGAATCCAGCCCAGACTTATTAGGAAAACCAGTGAAACAATCATCCAAGTCACCAAACCTGACCACCAGATCCATTTGGTCGCCTCGTACAACCAACATAGGTTGCTGGGGACCCATTCTAACCTGGAAGACCCACGGATAACGATCAGCCTGACCTAAAATATTGTCAGAAGAGTACAATTCTAACACAGACTAAAGTAAACTTGACTGACACAAAATGTCTTCACATGTCTCTGTAGAGGACAGTTCAACTTAACGATATTTTAACCTCTAAGTATTGTCACTAATTATGAGGATCCTGATGGGATCCTTATCTGACTTGTAGCTCACAAGGGTGATGCAAGTACATATGTCATGCAAATCTAAAAGTGATACATTCATACAATACTGAGGTGTGTCCAAATGATGTCAACACTAAATTGGTCAAGTATAGTATTGTAACAGCTGTTTGTGTCTACAAGCAGACTGACCTGATCTGACAGTGACTTGTCGGACATTGATGGAGTTTGGTAGTCTGGCAGCCGCCTCCCAGTCCGTCGTCAGTCGAGACAGGAAGTCATAGTCGCCGCCCGGGCTGTCCTCCGTGTACTCAGCAGTCACACTTGGTGGGTAGTAGGCTGCAATCAGAGTGAGTAGACATACACTGAAACATAATACTCTTCTTTCTCTATTTCATATTGTATTGTAAAATTGCATTCCTTGTTATAATGTAAAATTAAGCATTAAAGGTGCTTCCTCTTTAATCTCATTAAAATCAGATCTTCAGATGAGTTCTCACTCTCGCTAAACAAAGATCTGAGGACATCCCATTACGGGTCACGTCAGATCGACCTTTCATCCGACCAATCAAATCGATGCCTACCAGATCATGAAAATGACAGTCAGAAAGTGTTTGCTCATGCAACCTCGAAAACGTTAACACTGTGTATTCCAAACGACAGTTACGGCCCACACGACTGATTCCGTAAAACCTATTGTCTATCTCTTGCTTCCGTGGGATAATTATTTGAATAGAGGAGGCGTTGCACAGTAAGTGGGAAGTACTGCCATACAATCTCAGCCATATATTAGACATTCCAGAATTTTCATTTGTTCAGTTTTTAATTTTTTTATTGAGAACTGTGTCAACATATTTTTCAAGCATCACCAAGTTGAAACAAGTGCCGTAAAGCTCGAGAAAGCTGCTTTCTAATTGGCTGATGTCAACTTCTTGTTATTCATTTCAGTGGTCGGTCAAAGTTCGCAAAAGGTCGTTCTGACGTGATCCTAGTGGGATGTCCTCAGATCTTTGTTTAGCGGCAGCGAGAACTTAGATCTGATTTTGATGATATTGCTCTTTATTGGTCCTATTGTCAGTGAAACACAAGTTTTCTTGCCCAAGCAATCACATTAGTTATAACTTTATTAACATGAACTGGGAAATTTGTAATTCCCATTACTGACATTTGTTGCTGAATTGGGGCTGAATATCGGCCTCTAGGCAGGCATAGATAGCTCCCTGCTACTACCTGCCACTACCAACTACTACTACTACAGTCTGTGCCAAAACCTTAGCTCTTAGCATTATTTTCAGAAGAACTTAGTGTTACTATATGGACTACTATTAATTGAGCTTAATAGCCCGAACAGAACTTTACTAGAGTCAGACTTGAGATTACTACCTGAAGTCACAGAGTGCTGCTCGAAGTGTAAGGATTGATCATTTCATCACAATTTGAACTGTTCAAGCCTGATGGAAATACATTACCGACAAAGTCAATATATCAATACTTGACATCATTGCTGTATTATCAGTATCGATAGATGTGACTAAATGAAAACAATACTGTTCAATTTCCATTTGTACTGATCCAACATACACCTGCTTGTAGAAACACGGAGGTATCCATTTAGGTATACATTCAGAAAACTTATCATTATTTTATATCAGAAAATGATCACAAGTATCTTCCTTACTCCATAACATCTGCCCCAGCCATCTGCAGAATCTAGGACTTCATGTCTGTTAGGATTTGTCATTACATCAACTAATCTAAATCCCCTGGTACATATCAGACTACTGAAACAGTCTAACCAATATTGCAATAGCAATGTGGTTTTAAACTGTCTATAGTGCGGATGCCCACAATAGTCCACCCATCCTATAGATTGATATGATCAAATCTGCACACTTACCCACTCCTGACATAGAAATGAACACTTCTGGAGCCTTGCTGGCAGCAGAGATGGCTGATGCCAGTGCTTTGGTGCTGGAGACCCGGCTGTTATAAACCTCTTCCTTGAACTCTGGTGTCCATCTACAAAAGATAAAACCGCTGTTGATACATCCATTTAGTGTCAGGTATAACAGTGAGAGGTTTGGTTTAACGCATCTTCCCAAGGTAAGAGAGTTAACTGACTTTAAAAGTCCAGTTTCACCCTTGCCGAACTAGGCTGGAAATACTGGACTCGATCGTAGCGCCACCAGTGACTATTACCAGTTATGTCCCTTCAAAGCCTCTCCTATGGACCAATCAGATTCCACCTCTCGTATCACTTGCATTTGCTTCACACAAAATGGTGGCGCCCACTCAGGACGATCTGATTGATAATCAAGATATATATTGTGATAAAACCGGTCTTACATCGCGAAATGCATCAAATCACGTGAAAAAACATGAAAAGATTTGGAAAATATCTGCTGATAACGAGTTGGCGATGAACATGCTTTGCAAATCCTGCAATCGACGGAAATCTGCAAGACAGCTTACAAACATAATTTCGATTTCATTGTGCCATTTTGATTGGACTTTGCATAGACTCGTTAGTCCAGCCAAAACGTAACTCCATAATACCAGCCTAGTTCGGCAAGGGTGGAAACTGGACTTTTATAGTCAGTGAACTCTCTTGCCTTGGGAAGATGGTTTAACGCTGCTTTTTGACAGTATATCAGTCATTGTGTTAAGACTTGCATTGATGTTGTCATAAATGTTAAAAACAGTATTTATGCAGAAAATATTTGAACAGCAGTGTTGACAGCAACGTTTGTTAAATGGCAGTGTTTGTTAACATTCTAAACTGATGACCACATATCCAGGTGTGCTTCAGTGCAGTCATACTGCCATGACACTATTTTGTTTATGGGACACTAGCACAAAAATATTGCTTGGTTGGCCAATCAAATGTCATGGAATCATGCAATTTATTTATTATGGGAAGAAAACTCAAAGTGATGCAGATCTTGGATATTCTACCCCTTTGGTGACACCACGGGCAGGGGTATGGTGCTGACAAACCAAGAATCAGGGTGAAGCTGAGATTCAAACCCAACATTATATGCTTATAAGGGGATGCAGCTTTGCACAGATTTGTAATTTTTTTCCCAGAATATTTTTAAGTATTCTACATGCCCTCCAACGACTGCTTACATAAGAAATATGAATGCTACAATAACGTAACAACTATAACCAGACTGACAGATCAATAATCTCTGTAGAGACATCAACATCCCCAGCTATTCTCTAACTCCATATTGCCCATATTTCCAGCCATTTTATAATATGCCAACAACAATAACTGACTTTGTGATTCAAATCTTAATGAAATGTCTGCTCCATAATGCAGCATGACACCAAGGTGAAGTCTGACAACATATGATTTGACATTCAAGAAGACTGTTTACTCACCTTTTCTTGGGGTTGAGAATATTTTCCCCAGCCATGCTGACAACGGCTGTGCATCCTTCTGGCAGGCCGTTACGATTCAAATCATTCTAAATAACATTGTAAATATGAAGCATCAATGTCTTGCATGAAACATATTAAAATAATAATTTCAGAATTAAAATACTTTATGTCAAATGATTGTGAATTTATTGTTGTTAAAACAGGCTAAGGGGCCAAGGTTCCCTTCCATTTTTTCTAAATCCTGGTTTAATATTTTTCCTACATAGGGGGTCACTTGACCTCTAGACTTCAAATTCAGCTGAAGCTGACAGGATAGTTCTACAAAATGGTGTCCAACAACAATAAACAGCAACCCACACTTGTCATAATATGCGACTAAATGGGTCAGGTGGTCAGGCTCTGTGACTTGGTTGATTGCATGTCATCGTATCCAAACTGTGAAGATCTATGCTCATGATGTTACTCACTAGGTTGGCTGGTCCAGATTCAAATATTTACAGATCACCTTCACATTGCTGGAATACTGCTGAGTGAAGCGTTAAACAACACTAGTCCAGTAGTAACAATCAAGGCAACACCGGAAGCACTCGTTAAATCTCCATCATCATCATCATCATCATCATCATCATCACCATTTTGACTCTTATATTCTTTGAACAAATTTAACTAGCATTCATTGACAATGACCTTAGAAAAAGTGCGAACTGAACTGACGGAATAGATTAGAACATAATTGGAAAACCAGTTGAATATTCAATGCAACTTTACAATCCTGTGCACCTGAAGCTGGCCCTACAAGTGTGTTAAATATGTAAGAATACCTACTTACAGGGAAATTAATTTATATTTTTTTCATGTGTGTCACAGGGCACTCTTAAATATTTTGAATGTGCCCTTTGGAACATAAGCGTGCCAACAAAAAGAATAATTTTGATGCATCATCAAACTCGGTTAAATGTCATTTCACCAAGGCTAGATAATAAGCAGTTTTAACTTTGAAAGTTTGAGATTCATAATTCCCATCTGCAATCCAAAACTAAGTTTACGGGACATACTGTTGTTGTGTTCACATGTTTATCATTTTCCAGGTGTTTGTCCTGTTTATTTGTGGTTTCACGTTATAAGGATTGTCACATGGTATTGTAAACAAATATGAATTCTAAGTGTGCCCAATCGGCACTGCAAATTGACTTTAACCACGTCATTACAACTATAACTTTGTCATCCCACTAAAATAAAATACAGAGAAATTATAACCCTGTACTTATTGTAACTTACCCAGGTGATCTTGTCAGGTCCAGTCTGTCTTGACACAACTGTGACTTTGTAGCCATTTTCAATGAGAAGTCTGGTTAAATGTCTTCCAATGAAACCGCTGCCACCACCTGCCATGAAGAAGTGGTAAACTCCACACACAGGTCAAAAGCATCAACATTTACCGACCCAGCAGCATGGTTGGGCCAGGCCAATTTTATTTATATTTTTGTTTTACAGATAATTTAACTCAAAGAGCCATGAAGAGACAAAATGAAGAAATGTTTTCAGGATTGATTCATGATTAAATCACTAAAACAATATTTTTACTTTGGGGAATTTTAGGTTAACCTCATTTGTGAAATAAGAAAAGTAAATTGCATAAATTTATGCTTCATACAAGAAGCAACTAACAGTTCTGTGGGTTTCAAGATCAGCTTAAAAATAGTTTATTCTTTTATTTCTATCACTGTCTGAATGGAGTTAATAAAAAAAACATACAACTTTATGGATTACAACTTCTTGTTTATTGCATTTAGTGATGTTTTGATGTAGACTCTTACACTGTTATCAAGCTGGAATGACTACAACCATGTGATCAGAGGTATATCCATGATACATGATGTTGTGATAAGCAGCAGATTAACATTAACAACAACAGGTAATAGATAAAAAATAGCACAGAGATAATCGAAACATCGCTAAACATGCTAAATGCAATAAACCAGAAGTTGTTATCCATAAACTTGTAAGTTTTCTTATTTACTCACCAACTTTTGGAATGCCAATAAAACAGTTTGCGAATAGAGTGAGTGAGTTGGGTTTAACGCCACTTTTAAAAGTATTCCAGTTATATCGCGGCGTGTCAGCTCAATGTGGGAAGAAAGCCCAAAGTGATGCAGGTCTCAGACGTTTATCACTTCAGTGAAACCAACCAGCACGGGTATGGTGCTGTCAAACCTAGAAACATAATAGGGGCGAACCAGGATTCGAACCCACAACCATAGGTTTCTGGCGTGCCCAAGGGACACAACTATCAGACGACTGGGCCATCCGTGCCCCCTATTTTGCGAATAGAGTACAACAAACTAGTATATTGGTATTATTACCATGCACTTCTCCATGGGAATATATAATACAGGAATTCTGGAATAGGTCCTCAGCAAGACACTATATTTTGTGTCCAGTAAAATGCTTGGTTTGGCTGTTTGCATGGCATCATAATATCAACAATTTTTTGCCTAGTCTAGATACAGTTATTTACAGGCTGTAGTGATGTAACTGAAATATTGCTGACTATAGCATAAAACTTTCTGTCTCTAACTCACCATGTGTCTCAAGAACAAGTAACAACAGAAGAGATTTGTCTGGCTTCTGATACACCTTCAGAGGAAGGGATATAAATTAACATTAGTCCACTAGCCTAGACTAGCTTTGTTAATAATAAAGGTATATTTGTGTGCAAATTTACCTAGTCATGCCTACGATGTTGCAGAACTGAACGAAAAGGGTCGAACAGGTAATGGACATTTACGAAGGTTACAGGTAGGCATGGTGTCTCATGACTTTAGTCTACGGACACTTGTCCAATGCCATAATCTACAAGATACCGAGTGGTGAGGAATGAGCCGATATGGCACGAATTGAAAACGGCTTCAGGTGTCAGACGTCAGATGTCAAACTCGGGAGTATGCCTAAGTGACATGGTATTTAATAATTCGTCAGGTGTTTTTTGTTACAGAAAAGTGTGGTAGGGAAAACTGTAAGGATGATGTGGATAATAGTAAGGAACGAGGGAGGCATGAGCATGGCTAGTGACGACACAAGGGTGAGTTCAGTTTGAATCAGTACTGAAAAAATAGTGGGTGAAAGGGGCTTGTGTGAATGTTCCAGGACAGTTTCCAGTAGCCAAAATATTTGACATAAAACCATTTCATCCTTTTTACTCGATGTCTTAGTGTGAAGAATATTAGGAGCCCCTATAGAATCTATAATAGCCGCCAATCGGGTACCTAACCCTAATGATCTTAAAGGGGTGTTTGATCGTAAACGGGATCCAAGGGCTAAGGATAGAGCATGGGTAATCTAATAGCCGCTAAATGGGAACTTAACCCTAATGTTCTAAAGGGGATACAAGGGCTAAGGATAGAGTTCGGGGTAACCTACCCTAACACCTGCGACATTTGGATGTGTTCAGCGCCAATATAATATATCTAATAAACTGCATTCTTGTGCATAATAATGAAAAGTAATCAACTGAAAAATAATATATGTACATTAGTTCCTATTCACTTGAATTACAAGAAAAAAACGAAATAAAAAAATTATTTGAAATAAAAGTCCTTTCATAAACTAGCGCTTGCTATAAAATGCGCAGCTGCAGGCTGTATTTAGTAAACAAATATTCAAAACTCTCAACATCGCTGGGCGTATTCAATGACATTGCGTATAAAGATGAGAGATCACTGGGAGGAGCTTATGCACACTCAACGACCCCTGACGTCACAGGGCATTGTTTCGCATGTGTGAATGGCAACAAAATACAACAAATTACGTCATAAGGTATTGTCAAGTGTTTGAAAAGTTTGTGGTACTGTATTCTAAAGGTAGGCCAAGATATTTTTCAACGTTACCATATTTCTGATGTTTTACCTGTTATTTATCAGACATGCACAAAACGGTGACTGGTATATTTTATAGCTTTAACGTGAGAGACAGAGAACTTCTCAATCAGCTGCATCAGCTTCTTCATCACAGGGTATGCATTGTGATTCTCTGTTTACGTTATCTTTCAAAAGTCAGCAGATTGTTAAAATGCTTGAAAGAATAAGTTGTCGTGAACTGAAGCAGAAACTGTATCGATCTACCGGTATATGGCTGAAGAAGGTTGTGCAATTAAATATTTAAAAAACGGAGCTCCACAACCTTTCTTGAGGACAATCCCTGGACGATTAGGCTATTCTGGTCAAAATTAGGAATGGCATTTCTAGTTCTATAGCTGGCAAACTCTAGACTTTTTATGCACCATGATAAGGGAACATTTATGAATAAATACTTCTCCTTTTTGTCTTACCATTATTGAACACAATATACTCACCAATTAGGACACTCATGTCTACCCTCCAAAAATCACCTTATGCAAGTTTGTGCACACTTCCATCGTCTGCATGACCGACCTTGAAATATAGCACTTCCGGATCGTGAAGAAAGTATAAACCTAAAAGCTATTCGTATTGCAAACAAGCTTAATGTAAAGAATGACTAAATGCAAACCTATACAGTGATATTTTCTGTTCCTTTTTACATTTAACCCTCCAAAATGTGTGCATTTAAAAAATATTCCAGTGTATAGGAATTTATGTATTTCGATTTAATTTTAGATGGGAATAAAGTAATAGGTAGTTGTACTAATTCAACGAATTTACGAAAACTTCCGGTTTCAACATATCGTACTCAGGAAGGACGACATTTTGATATCGACGTTTGTGTTTTGCTTTAGGTAAGTCGGTTGTATTTGTTGTTTTCTACATGACCTTTCTCTCTATGTGTATGCTTTTTCTCTACCTCCATGCACAGCATGATATAATGGTAGTCTGAGATATATTTTGAGGTCGTTGACGTAAAATGTTATCGGGAATGTTCCCGATGTTTTCCTGTTCCGTCCAGACGGGTCAGCGTAATTACCGAACGGTGTTGTCTCTGAGATAATTACTGTTTGGGAACTATATCCCTATATATCTACCGTTTTGTGACGGGTGCGGGCTAAAACGGCACCTCAGCAAAACGTCACCGATTTCTCTGGCGAAAACGACACCGCATTATTTTATTATTATTAGTACCTCGAAGTCCAATGTCCTCGGCTCTTTGGGGCGCAACAGTTCCCGGGTTCAGTTTGCCATGCGAATGAGGGTTGAGTGGTTTTGGCGTCCACCACCCTGGTCAGGGTCGACGAGTCTCTGTTGAGCATCTTCAATGATACTGGCGTCCGATTTGTAGATGTTTTCAACAGCTTGTTCCTTTCCCCAAAACATAATACGTTCAATTACTGTACTGTAACCATAAACTATTTAACATGTTATTGACAGCTTATTGTAAGTTACCGAGAACAATTACACCAACTCAACTCGGACTTGAATTGCTGTCAACACTGTCCTGGTACCTGGTTTGGTACTCTCATTTTTCTGCATCTTCTGATTGGAAACTGACATCAAAGTTACCGCTCACCTCTTCAATGATGGGATCTACGCATCTCAAACAGCAGAAAGGGAAGTCTTCTTCTGTCGGGCAAATTTCTCTTTTTTACGGGCCACAGAAAGTCTGGTTCCACATACACGATGGGTCCACTGGTCACAGTTATTACATGATACAGCATGTTGATTTTTTCTGACATTCTTCTCGCATGCAACACATCGAAAGGCAATTATGAATAATTGTGATCCGACAGCACCATGTTTGGCCTTTTAAATACAGTTTCAGCTTAATCAATTGAGTAAAAGTACTTAAAACTTCAAAGCGTATCGTGTTTTCACAATAAGTTAACTGCGCCTACCAATCAGAGTCAGCGAGTAAATTGGAGAAGGGGTCTAATTTCTGAATTGCTTTATGTAAAAAAATAAGGTGACGTTTTTCGCCAGGCAATAGTAGCCGTTTTCGCTTGAGTCAAGGTGCCGTTTTCGCACGGTGATGTTTTGCTGAGGTGCTGTTTTCGCTATAACCCTTTTGTGACTGATGCATATTTTATCTCAATATAACTCCGTATATTCAATCAAGCTGTTGCTCCAGAGAATTAATGAAGCACATTTGGCTCCCACATTTGTACTCAAACCATATATACGTAGGTAACTAATGCAGTTTAATAGGCAGATTATACACGGCTGGCGAAAGAGGGGCTCGCTCAACGAATATATGATATATGGTAATGTCAATGAACACCATTACAATACACTAGCAGTGTGGCCATTATCATCATGATCACAGTTGAATCAGTAAGCATGGTAAGCACATACCTGGTTCAATGAGTTTATTCATTACAGGATTGATTGATATCTCTGCTTCAAGTGCTTGCAAACAATTTCACATCCATCATTCCATCTGAAGCCATAGAAATAACTTGGTTTGTTGTCAGTGTCACTCATCCTTTTACGATTACCATGCTAAAATATGTGTGATTGCTTGGGAATAGTGCACTGAACAAGGCACACTTTTTCAGATTTCAAGTTCTGAAGCATGGGGATGGAATCAGTCTCATATGCAATTGAAATTTTTTGATGGCAAGTTACTATACCTGTTTAGTCTCACTATGGCTCCTTTCTTTATTATTGAAAGGAAAGCCCATTATTCCATTAAATTCTTCCATGTTAATATAATCTGAAATACATTTTGACTACATTTCTCAAAAGTTCCCATGTAGAACCCAAACATGATTTTATTTTTTTTAAACAATATCAACTAGAACTAATCTTAAAAATCTCTCGATATGATAATGTTGCAAATGCTCAATCATAACTTAAAACCCAGTTTTGTAACCTGTATAAAATTTGCTGATTGGCTAAAGCCAATGACAAAGAATGAACATTATACTACTCTATGCATGGAAAATTCTTTGCTATTTCACTATGTTATTGTGACATGTGCAGAAAGTAGGTTTGCTGTCAATGGTAGAACAATGGCGACAAATGTATTTTCAATATTTCATGTCTCATCTGGCTCTAGTAATGAAACTACAGAAGAATGATCATGCTCTGGTGGGACTTTAGAGAAAGAGACATGTTTAGAATCTTCTAGAAAAGCTAATGATTGACAAATACTCTAAAACGTGAAATTAATTCGTCTCCAAAAGAATGCGAGCGCTCGCCCCTAGCCAAAAATGCGACTTAATATGAATGCGCCACCCCGTCCTCTCCATCTTCCCGAGGCAAGAGAGTTAACTGACTATAAAAGTCCAGTTTCCACCCTTGCCGAACTAGGCTGGTATTATGGAGTTAGATTTTGGCTCGGCTAACGAGTCTATGCATAGTCCAATCAAAATTGCACACCGAAATCAAAATCCGGTTCGTAAAGTGTCATGTAGATTTCGGTCGACTGCAGGATTTGCAAAGCATGTGCACCGCTAGCTCATTGTCAACAGATATTTTCAAAATCTTTTCATGTTTTTAATCAAGGTGCTCACGTGATTTGATGCACTTCGCGATGTAAGACTCGTTTTAATACAATATAGATCTTGATCATCGATCAGATCGTCTTGACAGGACGCCACCGTTTTGTTTGAAAAAAAGGCAAGTGATGCGAGAGGTGGAATCTGATTGGTCCACAGGAGAGGCATAGAAGGGACATAGCTCGTAATAGCCACTGGTGGCGCTACGATCAAGCCCAGGAATTCCAGTCTAGTTCGGCAAGGGTGGAAACTGGACTTTTAAAGTTAGTTTAACTCCCTTGCCTCGGGAAGATGCCTCCTCTCAAGCATCAGTGGATTTATATCTTTACAAAATGTCCTCTGTCAGGTTTACAGGAGAATCCTCACCTTAATCCAACCTAAGTCCCTACATTAATCCAATCACACACCAAATAGCACCGCTTATTAGCGCTGAGTAGAGTACTTCCACTAAAACAATGCATGCGCGCTGGCTGCTCTCGGCCTTTGATGCAGTCGTAAAGAAGAAAGACACCGTGTTGCATGGCGTCTGTCTGGACTGGCAGGTGTGATCAGTGATGACATAAGTGAGTAGAACACTTGTCTTGACCCCAGCAGTGACAATTCACAAGATGTAATTAGTGTTTGAATGACATTGTTTATATACTTGTAACAAGTGCTGCTCAATAAACAGTGATGTGGAATACATAGTTGTTTGTTTTCAGCGTTTGTCTAAGTTGGTATTTCTGCTATCCAGAATGTCTTATTGTTGATATAAATGCAATGTTTAATAATGCGAGCAAAGACCACTCGCATTTTTCGCATTTAATTCACGCTCGCATTAATATCAAGATTTACAGTATATTGAATCCAGCATGAGTATGAGTGCTGAATCTGTTTGTTCCTACCAAAGCTTCATCTGCTTGCGCCAATGGATGCGGTTACAACAAAAATAAGAAAAAGTGAGCAAAACGGTTGACTATGCCTGTGCAACATGTATTTTGGGAAGTCTGTCTGAAAGATTTTAGTTGGCTTCTATTTTACAAAAGTATGAAAGTTATTACTTGTGTTTTTTGTGCCACAAATCTAGAATTTGCCGGAACAACAGATTTCGTGAAGGGCAATTGAAATTTTGAACATGAAACAATTATCATTCACAAAGTGCCAGGCACAGACACTGTAGAGACAAAACGTTACTCCAAAAGGTGCCTCAAGTGCTTTTGAGACTCTGATGATGTATTAGCTATTTAGTCATGGTATTCAATCGAGTCAAGATAGCAGTTTAGTCTCATTGAACAACATGTCTTCAGCAGTTAAATCTTAATGAAATATTTTTTGTCGAGTCAGGTTATTTTCATTTTAAGTACCGTATTTGACGTAATAAGCGCCCCGCTCTAATAAGCGCCCACGGCGTTATTTGCTAATATATTGGCAATTGAACAATCCCAAATAGCACCCCTTCCGATTGTTCAATGTACACAAGCCTTATTTATTCGCGTATAATACGCACTCATGTGTTATATGCACCCTTAATTATGTGCAATTAAATTCTGGAAAAATATGTCTGTCGTATATAAACATTTCAGGCTGTAAGCATAAACCACAAAATTTATCCTTTAACTCTGTTTTTTTCACCAAAATAATATTCTAATAAGAGCCCCCTATTTCTAATTTTGAGAGCGCCCTGGGCGCTTATTACGTCGAATACGGTATAAGTGAAAAATGTTTTGGGAGTCCATGGATTCAAATATCACAAGGGAATAACCCCCTTAATTTTGAACACTGGGTAATGGACAGTGCAAGTTGTCATAGTTCGGTATGGATCTATGCTGAGTAATGAGAGCTATATTGTGACACATAGCTCTCATTACACAGCATAGGTACATATTGGATAACAACATGAGAGCTATATTGTGAGACCCATGAAGATCCATCTGTCCTGCACTCCCAAAGGAGTTAGAACCTTGACCATAACATGCAAGCTGATATTATCCCCACCCTATAATAAACAGATACATTGTGTACATTTGTTTGTTATGAAGAGAATAATACCTTTAATATGATTTATCCTGGATCATAACATGGAAACGGTTCAGATCTTTATGTTACATTTGTATCTAGGGAAATACATGTTCATGCTGTCAGATTTGCCATCCACCCATTTTAAACCTTGACATTCATGATTAATATCAAACACTGGTAATTAATGACAGGGTAGAATAAAACTTGCTTCAGAACAGTGTCAGGGAAATGATAGATCTTCACTTCAATAAATGTGTGTGTTTTTTTTCTTCTTTTGTAGCAAAATGCCAGCCATCTTACTGGAGAGGATTCCTCTGCCCAGCCTGCAGACGTACACAGCTTTCAGTACAGTTCTGCTGACATGTGCCCTCTTCTACACACATCAGACAGTCACCTCCACTCCATTCGAAAGTCTGGAACAGGAGGTTGATGCTCCGATCAAGACAGAGGTCCCAGTAACGGAGAACCTAAGTGAAGATGACCCCGAGATCATGATATCTGACCCGTGGAACACCACACTACCCTACGACTCCTACGAGTGGAATTTCCTGTTTGTCATGACAACTCAGGCATGGTGTGTTTGGGTGAGTTAGTAGAGGCTTTGGACTGATTTTGACAAATACTTTACCGGCAAGGGTATGTTTATTATTTTGTAAAACTTCTTATTGCTGTAAGCTGATAGGGTGAAACTATACAGCAAGGCCACGATACGATACGTATCACATACCACAGGTCATGATACGATTCATATCACGATACCCCTATTTACATCAAATCGGGTAGACACTTCTTGCCTTTAAATATTTCAGAGCAGGTCCAAAAGGAAAAGCTAGCTGAAGACATTTTTTTGAAGCTGCTGTTTCAGTACAACATATTTGGCAATATTTGACTGACAAAGACGCTGGTGGTCATTAAGTGAGGAGTAAAGAATTTATTTTAGCCAGTGTATCGTCTTGTATCGATACAGAAAACAATGTATCATGTATCGTATCGTCTGAAAACTCACCCAAATAAGCTCATACATAAATTTGTTTGTGATACCCCGAGATTGTAACTTATATATAACATTAAAAAGTGGTAAAAACTCACAATTTATTCAACAAAGGTGATATTACGCTATGCACTTGCTGTGTTCAATATTATGAGAATAACTAACAAGTAATAGGAAATTAGGGGGCATGAGTGGCCCAGTCGTCTAAGGCCCTGCGATTCGCTGTGCAGAGTTGCGTCCCTTGGGCACGCCAGAAACCTATGATTGTGGATTCGAATCCCTGTTCGCCCTACTTATGTTTCTAGGTTTGTCAACACCATACCCATGCCCGTGGGTTTCACCGGAGTGGTAAACGTCTGAGACCTGCGTCACTTCGAGCTTTTCTCCCACATTAACCTGACACTCCGTGATATAACTGGAATACTGTTAAAAGTGGCGTTAAACCCAACTCGCTCACTCACCATAACCAAATTTAGAGCGAACATCTCTAGAATGTATTCCTAACCACCTTGCAAGCTTCTAGCCACTGTAAACCAAAGGAAATGTGTCCCTACGCAACAGTGAAAAAGTTTGACTGGGTTCCTGTCTACCTAAACTGGCGCTGAAAGCACCGAGCTCATGGCGGGAACCAACAGTTTGATGAAAACCTATGATGAAGATGATATTCCTAGTTGCATGTTTGTTACAGACACTGGTAAATACAGCCTATTGCTGCCTGATCCTCCTGGGCAAGCTGATACAGCGCATGGTGTTTGGAGAGCTCCGAGTCAGTGAACAACAGGTAACCGGTTGATGCTTGCAGTGCTTGTCATGTGTTAGTGATAGATCTGTAAACATTCATCAAGTTTTACACACATACTATCTTTTATACCATATACATCAAGAACTAGATAACATTAATTAATTCTGTATTGTTCAACAGCCTACTAACATCAACCGTCAAAAAAGGGGTTAAGCTAGTGTTCAAGATGGTTCCATGATACTGTCTCAAGGTGGTGAAATGGGGTTTAACGTCACATCCAAGATTATTGCACTTATATAGCGACGTGCATGCGTGGCTGCTGGTACTAGTCCAGACTGATGCCGATTTATAGTGCTAGCTCACTGAGATACCATCCTGCAGTCTAACATGAATACCCCACTCAGACACAGTATACTACTCCGAGCAAACCAGTCCTTGTTTTAGCCCCTTAATGCCGAGCACCAGACAGGGTAACAACAAGTACCATCATTTAATGTCTTTTGGTATGACATGGCGGGGGATTGAACCCCGGACATTCCGCTCTCTGAGCGGACAATCTACCATTAGACCACGGAGGCAGCACTGTCTCAATGATACCCATGGTGTAGTACAAATACTGTGAGACTTTTAAACAAATTAAAAAATGTCTATTACTTTTTCAAAGAAAAGGTGACTTATTATGCTTATGACAGTTTGATGATTCTTATGCTTCATGATTAGTTCTGCCATTTTAGAAAATATATATTATTTTTTTTGTAATATTTTTTTTAGTCAGGGTTCAGAATACATTGTACACGTTATAATGCATATTAATACATTAACTGTTTGCACATCATTTGTAATGTGATGATTCATATTACCAGTGATAATAAATGATTTACTGCATAATATATATGTAGCACATGATGGAATCCCTTCTTTTCATCATAAAAACACAACAGCCATTCACACTTCTCATACAGACACCATTTACACGCTCTCACACAGGGACGCCTGAAGCACTCTCATACACACACACATATATTATTTTCTCATTTTAGAAAATATTTATGACTAGCTTTGTGTGTTTGAAAAAGGCACTTATCTATTGTTTGCCTTTTTATTATGCTCAGCACCTGAAGGACAAGTTCTGGAACTTTGTGTTCTACAAGTTCATCTTCATCTTTGGTGTGATGAATGTTCAGACTATGGAGGAGGTGGTGCTGTGGGTTGCCTGGTTCTCCGTCCTTGGCTTCTTCCACCTCCTCACACAGCTCTGCAAGGACAGGTTTGAATATGTGAGTACATACTAGGGTCACTGTGGTTGTACTAGGTGAACAATATTGCGTCTAATGCATACAAATGGGAAATGAACATGAATATTTTTCATCATAAATTTATCCAAATTTCATGTTATTATGGCTACAAAGAAACTCAAAGTACAGAGTGTCAGTGATTGATTTTCTAAAACTTAACAATGAAATCACCATCATGGTGATGCATGTATAATGCAGTCTTCCTGGTGTCATGTACAATTGTAACATGTGACTATTGTTTGCAGTTGTCCTTCTCCCCGACCACAGCCCGGTACTCCCACGTGAAGCTCCTCAGTCTGCTGTGGGTGATCCTGGTGTCGTGTGGAGGCCTGCTGCTTGTGTGTGTCTATGTGGGACTTCAAGTCGGCCTCACTATACTGGCCTTCATGGCAGCGGAGGTAAGTGGGGTGCCATGTCAGGTTCCGGGGTATGAAGGCTGAGCCACGTCATCCACGTTCATTTTCTAAATTGTGAGAACTAAGTCGAAAACGAGTCAATGTGGTTCGGAATTTATTTACAATGATAGTACTCAAATACCAAATAGTAGTTCTCACATAAAATGGATGTTTTAAACTGTGCATTATAAGACATTTTGAGGCTTTCAGATAAATCACTGTGCCAAACATAGTTTATGTATGGCTGAATGGTTTGTCCTGTGTTATTTCATGAAATGTTTTGTTCTTTCCAGTGTTTACTGCTTGGAATCAGGGCTCTGTATGTTGTCGTGAGGTGAGTATACTATAGCAGATCTCAACTGTCGCTCAGATGTCTGTCGCAAATTCGAATTCTGTAAAAATATCAATGCAGGGAAATTTGAGTGTTGTAAATTATTTTGTCCATACAGTCTTCCAAACCCCTGTAAACAAGGAATTCCTAGTTGACATGTAAGGTGGGGAGTGGGCACTGATGCCATGTGATTGTGTGTCAGGTACATCATCCACCTGTGGGACATGAGCAAGGAGGGTGTGTGGGAGAACCGATCCATGTACGTGTACTATGCCGAGCTCATCTTTGAATTGGCCGCCCTCTCCATCGACTTCTGTCATCACTTACACATGCTGGTGAGTGTGGCTTGTTTGTCTGTGTTCTTCTCTCCCCTTAGTGGGTGGCCCAGGGGTCAAGGTCGCTATGCAGAATTGCTTCCACGCCAGGATCCACTGATTGTGGGTTCAAATCCAAGGTTCATCCTGATTATGATTCTTGGTCTGTTTATCATACAAATGCTTCTGGGTTGATGACCTGCTTCTTGGAACCTTCCACATTAGGTGATATGCAACATTGTACCGAAATACTGTTTAAAATAGTGTTAGACACAACTCATCACTCTTCTGAAATAACTGACAGTAAATGTTCCAAGCTTGTCCAGTACTGCATGGTATAGCAGCAATTCAATCTAAACAGCTGCCACCAGGAAACAGGAACTGTCAGCAGTGACCAGACTGGTATAGGGTGACAGTACCTTGATAGTTGGACAAGTGAGTGAATGTTATTTTACTACATCACAACAGCCAATGAATGTTAAAATCTACAGCAGGAAAATCAGGGGCCAGCTGCATTAACAACAGCTTAAGATGTCGTGGTACTAAAACATCCCCATGGGGTGATTGATACTCACAAGAAGGGAATGAGTGTTGATGTATGCCACAATTAGCAATACGCAGGCTACTATGATGGCATACTGTTGCTATATGGACTGGACAAACCCAGTGGCTGACAGCATGAGCACCATTCCACTCCATTTGCCTGCTATGACATATTGGCAGTCAGGTCACACATTGTATAAGACTGATCCTCATTTTCTTGCCATGGGGACCGGGGTCAAGGTCTCCAGCACTTTATTGCTTGCCGCAAGAGGTGACTATATTGGATTGAATGGTGACTTGTTTTCGACATCATACTGCAGGTTGACGGAAATTGCTCATAAATTAAGTCACTGGTTTGTCTCATAGGCAGATAAAACTGGACTACTGCAGACTGCATAGTTTGAGTGTAGTAGGCCTGATAGCAATGTTTGATTGTCATGTGATTGTCATGTGATTGTCATGTGATGTGTTTGTGTGGCCAGCTGTGGGGCAACATCTTCCTGAGCATGGCGAGTCTGGTGATCTGCATGCAACTCCGCTACCTGTTCTACGAGTTCCAGAGACGGGTCAAGAGACACAAGAACTACCTGCGGGTGGTCAAGAACATGGAGGCCAGGTGAGTAGACAGTTGCTGGAATAGACATTCCTTAAACAGATGGAGCACATCAGATTTTGATGCAGACAAGGTTAAATACACCCACAGATTTATGAGGATTCAGAAGTGCTAAGGCAGGTGTCTGACTGAACTGTTCTGTGTGTTAGATTCCCTAGGGCAGGTGTCTCTCTGAACTGTTGTGTGTGATAGATTCCCTAGGGCAGGTGTGTCTCTGAACTGTTGTGTGTGATAGATTCCCTAGGGCAGGTGTCTCTCTGAACTGTGGTGTGTGATAGATTCCCTAGGGCAGGTGTCTCTCTGAACTGTTGTGTGGGATAGATTCACTAGGGCAGGTGTCTCTCTGAACTGTTGTGTGGGATAGATTCACTAGGGCAGGTGTCTCTCTGAACTGTTGTGTGTGATAGATTCCCTAGGGCAGGTGTCTCTCTGAACTGTTGTGTGTGATAGATTCCCTAGGGCAGGTGTCTCTCTGAACTGTTGTGTGTGATAGATTCCCTAGGGCAGGTGTCTCTCTGAACTGTTGTGTGGGATAGATTCACTAGGGCAGGTGTCTCTCTGAACTGTTGTGTGGGATAGATTCACTAGGGCAGGTGTCTCTCTGAACTGTTGTGTGTGATAGATTCCCTAGGGCAGGTGTCTCTCTGAACTGTGGTGTGTGATAGATTCCCTAGGGCAGGTGTCTCTCTGAACTGTTGTGTGGGATAGATTCACTAGGGCAGGTGTCTCTCTGAACTGTTGTGTGGGATAGATTCACTAGGGCAGGTGTCTCTCTGAACTGTTGTGTGTGATAGATTCCCTAGGGCAGGTGTCTCTCTGAACTGTTGTGTGTGATAGATTCCCTAGGGCAGGTGTCTCTCTGAACTGTTGTGTGTGATAGATTCCCTAGGGCAGGTGTCTCTCTGAACTGTTGTGTGGGATAGATTCACTAGGGCAGGTGTCTCTCTAAACTGTTGTGTGGGATAGATTCACTAGGGCAGGTGTCTCTCTGAACTGTTGTGTGTGATAGATTCCCTAGGGCAGGTGTCTCTCTGAACTGTTGTGTGTGATAGATTCCCTAGGGCAGATATCTGACTGAACTGATCTGAATATCAGATTACCTAGGGCAGATGTCTGACTGAACTGTTCTGTGTGTTAGATTCCCCATGGCAACACAGGAAGACCTGGAGCAGAACAACGACGACTGCGCCATCTGCTGGGAGAGGATGGAGTCCGCCAGGAAGCTGCCCTGCTGCCACCTGTTCCACAAGTAAGACACGAAGGGGGCTGATTTGTGGGGATATTTTACTCTTGCAATACACAATACCCGGGGTACAATAGGTCTTTATCAACACATGCTTGCCATAAATGGCAACTATGCTTGTCGTACGAGGCAACTAACAGGATCGGGTGGTCAGACTCGCTGACTTGGCTGATGCATGTGATCATATCCCAATTGAGTGGATCGATGCTCATGACATCAATCCCTGGATTGTCTGTTCCAGACTCTATTATTTACAGGCTGCTGTCATAAAGCTGGAATATTTGCTGAGTCCTGTTAAACAACAAACAAACAAACTTGAAAACACTCTTCTGATACCATTACACCTGTGGTAGAGCCTTTCCAATTGTGTTGCTATAGTATGTGAGTACTGTCATCTTCCAACAATGCGGGGGCACGGGTGGCCCAGTCATCTCAGGCGCCGCGATTCGCTGTGCAGAGATGCGTCCCTTGGGCACGCCAGAAACCTATGATTGTGGGTTCGAATCCCGGTTCGCCCTGATTATGTTTCTAGGTTTCTCAACACCATACCCGTGCTCGTGGCTTTCACCGAAGTGGTAAACGTCTGAGAACTGCATCACTTTGGGCTTACCTCCCACATTAAGCTGACACGCCGTGATATAACTGGAATACTGTCAAAAGCGGCGTTAAACCCGATTCACTCACTGACTCACTCACTTCCAACAATGCAGCCATGTGCGCCATGTTTTAGGTTCAGCAGAGGTTCAGGAATTTAGGGAGGTACCTCTGTTTATGGTCTGATTGTCCCCCGCCACGCGAAAGCGCGGAGCGGGTGATATAGTATTCACGACCGTCCGTACGTATGTCCGAACGTCCGTCCGTACGTCCCACCTGTTTGTTGCTGCGATATCTCAAGAACTAAACACTGGATTGTCTTCATATTTGGAACTATGGTGTATATACAGACACCGCAGACACCAGTTGGTTTTGGTGACCTTGACCCCATTTTCAAGGTCACAGCAGGCAAATCTGCTTTTGGAGTTGGAAAATGGTGTTGCCGCAATATCTCAAGAACTAATCGATGGATTGTCTTCATATTTGGTACTATGGTGTATATACAGGCGGGGGACATTTCGTCACTTTGTGACAAATACTTGTTTATGAACACATTCTGGAACATATCTATACTCACAAGGCGTATTTTGGACAGAAACAGATGTGCAACTGAGAGATCTATATATCAGTGAGATGTTAGTGATACAGCTGACAGATATCTATGATATCAGGGAGGTGTCCATGACAAAGCTGACAGATACCTGTTTAACAACTGACGAACATCCATGATATCAGAGAGGTATCCATGATACAGGTGAAATACAGGGATGTGATGATTATGCACTGTTCTGTTTACAGTTCCTGTTTACGATCATGGCTGGAGCAAGACACATCTTGTCCAACTTGTCGCATGCCACTGAGTGACGGTCAACGCGAGAGACAGAACGTGCCACAAGGGGGACCTGCTGAAACAGGGAATGCTGGGGCGCCACCAGCGCCACCTGCCAACGCGGCAACCACTAACCACTTCTTTCATTTCGATGGTAAGTTGGCCTGAATAAGGGAATGATGCACATGTTGAATGTCATAATGAAAGGACATGGTCAGATATAGCTTCTAGGTTGTTAGTTGGATAAGATAAAATTAGGAAACAAAAGTTGCTTTCTCCCAAAATGTATTTGTTATTCAGTCACTAGTTTGTGCCGAAAATATTTTCATCTCCTTACCCAAACTGTTCTATTGACAAGATTATTAATCTGGGCTAGGATGAACTAAACCTGCTAGATAGAGAGCACGTTTTGCATTTTCTGACTCTCACAATGCACTACATTATTTTGTTGTTACAGCATCTCGCTATGTGAGCTGGTTGCCGAGCTTCTCTGTGGAGGTGACTCACACTAACCTGTTGACAGGACAACAACAAGCACGGGTGTCCCCCACCTCCCAACTAGATAACATGGTGAGTGTTGACAGGACACCCACCCCCCAACTAGATAACATGGTGAGTGTTGCCAGGACACCCACCTCCCAACTAGATAACATGGTGAGTGTTGACAGGACACCCACCTCCCAACTAGATAACATGGTGAGTGTTGACAGGACACCCACCTCCCAACTAGATAACATGGTGAGTGTTGACAGGACACCCACCTCCCAACTAGATAACATGGTGAGTGTTGACAGGACAACCACCTCCCAACTAGATAACATGGTGAGTGTTGCCAGGACACCCACCTCCCAACTAGATAACATGGTGAGTGTTGACAGGACACCCACCTCCCAACTAGATAACATGGTGAGTGTTGACAGGACACCCACCTCCCAACTAGATAACATGGTGAGTGTTGACAGGACAACCACCTCCCAACTAGATAACATGGTGAGTGTTGCCAGGACACCCACCTCCCAACTAGATAACATGGTGAGTGTTGCCAGGACAACCACCTCCCAACTAGATAACATGGTGAGTGTTGCCAGGACACCCACCTCCCAACTACATATCATGGTGAGCAGTGAGTGTTGGTTTGTCTTGTCCAGATTATTTGCCATAGTATAACTGGAATAATGCTGACTGCAATAACAAGAAGAAGAAAAAAATGATAAAAAAGGTTTGACACTTTCTAAAGAAGTTGTAATGTTATCAATATCAAGCATTGTTTGACAATGGTTCTGTCCTTGTTTCAGGCCAGACAGGTGCAGGCAGTTTTTCCTAACATGCCGCTGGCTACCATTGTGGATGATCTGGGAGCTACTCGGTCTGTGAACCTGACAATAGACAACATTCTAGAGGGAAGACTTGTAGCGCCACCAGTGAGTATTGCCCTCTCATCCTTTCAGTGGGGGCACAGGTGGCCCAGTAGCTTCAGATGTTGCTTATACTGTGCTGATTTGCAGAGGAGCTGTTCATAGTTTGAATTCTCCCTGATCATGATCCTTGGGTTGGAAGCACTAAGCCAATTCTTGTGGGTATCACCAAAGTGGTGATGACCTTAGTCCCACTGGACCTCCCATGCAAAGTGACTATCGTGTCAGCACCATATGCATGCTTGTGGGTTTCACGATAGTGGTAAATGTCCATGACCTTTGTTGCATTGGACGTCCTTGACCTTTGTCGCATTGGACATCCTTGACCTTTCTCATATTGGACCTCCGTGACCTTTGTCGCATGTAAGATAATGTGCTGATAAATTGAAATATATTTCAAAGTGACATTATTACCCAGCTCTTTAGTTCTTTCTTTGAACAGCACCTCTGTTATACTATCAATGACTTGCGAAACACCTTCAGACTTGTAGCAATTGTAATGATTGTGCAAAACCTAGGAAAGATTATTACAAATATTTCCGAAAGTCCACCTTTATTGCTGAAGCATCTGAAAGCAAGTCCCTCTGTTGACGAGATCTGTGGCACATAACCCTGCTTGTTTTACAAAATATTCTTGGTGGTTATTCAGAAGCATTATTCATGTCTCACTGCCTTTTTCAGACACCAGTACTTGCCAACAGACCCAGTGTAGACAATGACACAGATGATGAACAGAATATGCAGGTATGAGCATAGTGTTTTCAGCTTGGTGGCCTGTTTGCTGTTTCAAGTGTTTGTACACATCCGAGAATTCATTGTTTGTGTGGTTACTATTTGGCAGATTTCACAATTCCCATAATGTAGTGTTTAGTATACAAATTTAATATTCTAAAACAAAAATAGGGAATATGAATATGAATATTGGATGTTCTGAGCAATAAATATGATTGTCCCCTTTCTTGTGTTTAATCGGTTGGAATATGGCAAGACTATCAGCACTTCAGTATGGAGCTTTAGTTCTCATTGTACACAACTCAACATTTGAGAGGGATGCAGGCTATTACATAGTGCCACTAGAGGACAGCACCTTGTGTACTTGAATTGTGTACTTACTTTTGTTAACTGTAAAAGAAGGTGAACATGATCCAGTTGCAAGGCAAATCCTTATCACATGTTGAGTAATAAAGACAGATTGGAGGTTGGTGTATTCATTTCATCATAAACAGTTAAACATTGCTTTTGGGTTTTGGTAGAGGTTTATCTCTCTCTTGCCTCATCCCACTGACGGGGGCACGGGTGGCCCAGTCGTCTAAGGCGCCGCGATTCGCTGTGCAGAGTTGCGTCCCTTGAAACCTATGCCAGGAACCTACGATTGTGGGTTCAAACCCCGGTTCCCCCGATTTTGTTTCTAGGTTTGTCAGCCCCAGCTTGTTGGTTTCACCGAAGTGGTAAACGTCTAAGACCTGCATCACTTTGGCCTTTCCTCCCACATTAAGCTGACACGCTGGATATAACTGTTATACTGTTAAAGGCAGCGTTAAACCCAACTCACTCACTCACTCACTCATCAAAAACAGTTAAACATTGCTTTTGGGTTTTTGTAAAGGTTTATGACCTGCATCACTTGGGGTCTTTCCTCCCACAATAGGTGACCGGCTGTGATATACTGAACTACAATCTGAAATGCTCTTAAACCAAGACCACCTGCTCCCTCACCTTTCAGATAGTCACAGCTGCAGCCCTCTTCTGTCAACATTTAGCTCTCTTAAAGTCTCTCTCTTGCCTCATCCCATTGACAGACTGATGAATGTAATTGCTTGGTTCTGGATTAAGTAATAGGAACACTTCACAAAGCATTTCCCTTCCCCGTTATAAAATCCGGTTCAATTTTTTTCAAGTATACTAAGAGGCAGTTTCAATTTAAAGGACATGTATCCTGCCACTAGAAAAACATTCGCATGAACATCTAAATGTTTTAGCTTCCATTGTATATTCCTGTCTGTGATAGTGTTTCTTATCATATTAAATATTATCCTGTATTTAGGTGAACACTTGACCTGCCTTTGCATGTGTTTGTGATGGTTGCCACCAGTGGGGCAGGATATTTTCACCTTTTTTCTAGAACATATGATATCACCATTTGATAGTGATTCTTAAACATGTGCTAATGATATAATCGGAATCATACCCTGCATTCATCATAGATTTGGAAAGGGGTTTGTTGATTTTATTTGATATGTCTGTCTTATCCTGTCAACATCTGTGCAGCTATGTGATGTCTTTCAGCAGATAGCAGTGCCATCTACAGTGTCTCGGACTGGGCTCATGGGCTTGAGGGCTGCATTGGGTGACACCCACCTGTCAGTGGGAGATAACACTGACAGTCAGCCAGGCCCCCTGTTGGCTCAGGCTGAGGCCATGGTCCTAAACTCAGGGGACTTTAGACACAGGTACGTCAGGGAGACGTGTTATCTGATGTGTGATGTATGTCTCAGTGAGGAGATGTATTGTATGATGTGTGTTTCAGTGAGGAGACATGTTAACTGATGTGTTTCAGTGAGGAGACATGTTTTCCCATGTATGATGCATGTTTCAGCGAGGAGACATATTATCAAATGTGTGTTCAGTGTGTGTATCCCATATGTGTTTTCCTATGTATGATGCATGTTTCAGTGATTGAACATTATATACCATGTGTGTTGCAGTGTGGATGTTATCTCATGTATTACTATGATGCATGTTTCAGTGAGGAGACATGTTATCCCCCATTTGACACATGTTTCAGTGAGAAGTTATCCCATATATGTTTCAATGAGCAGGCATGTACTCACATGTGTATTTCAGTTAGATGTTATCCCATGTATGTTTCAGTAAGATGTTATCCCATGTTTGATGAATGTTTCAGAGAGATGTTATCTCATGTGTGGTGTATGTTTCAGAGAGATGTTATCCTATGTTTGATGTATGTTTCAGGTGGAGATATGTTACATGTCATCACATGTATGTTTCAGTGAGATGTTATCCCATATTTGATGAATGTTTCAGAGAGATGTTATCCCATGTTTGATGTATGTTTCAGAGAGATGTTATCCCATGTTTGATGAATGTTTCAGAGAGATGTTATCCCATGTTTGATGAATGTTTCAGAGAGATGTTATCCCATGTTTGATGAATGTTTCAGAGAGATGGTATCCCATGTTTGATGAATGTTTCAGAGAGATGTTATCCCATGTTTGATGAATGTTTCAGAGAGATGTTATCCCATGTTTGATGTATTTTTCAGAGAGATGTTATCCTATGTTTGATGTATGTTTCAGTGAGGATGTTCCTTCACCCCTTGGAGGAAGGTTTTCGAAATCTGCATCTGAGAGAATGTCAATGTTAGAACACAGAAAGACATCCATGGTTGATCAAGCCAGAAGGTACAGTCTTCTTGCTCAGCTCAGAATGTTTTACAAACACATTATCAGAAAGGACATGAGTTTATCATTGCAAATCACTTTAGGCTTTTCTTCTACATTAAGCTGACATGCTGTGATATACCTAAAATACTGTTCAAGGAAGTGTTACACCTAACTCTCCCACTTACTTTAATCATTGCAACATGGGTGTCTAGTGTTAGGGACTTGAATATATTTTAAGGGAGGCCTGAATTTTGCCAGATGAAAGCATGGATTAATGTATCAAGGGTGGCCAAAGATGCTCCCGTCAGGTCAACATATTTTGGTGTTTGTTGTTAAGTCTATACCATGTATCTCTTTCTGATTGTATTACAGGAAATATCTTCAGAAGAACAAACATAATACAGAATCTGGTGATCTTTCATCATCGTCTCAATCTGATCAGTCGGATGACTCAAGGTCACAACAGCGCGAGGTGATATTTCAGGCAGCCCAGCGCAGACTGAACTCTATACACCACTCTCAGTACAGCTGATGGCTAGGGCTCCTTATCTGTATATACTTTGTGTACTAAGTACATTATTTGTAATTATTTGTAGCCTGGATATTACAGCATTTGTGATATTTCTTTTTGCTGTGGGTGCTGTCTATAATTAGACATGCCTTAAATTATGCGTTTGTTTTGATTGCAAGAAATATTAGGCATCCCACCTTACCTATATTCCAGACTTTTAAACCCCTTCTAATAAATGTGTAACTAACCCCAAAGGAATTTTTGGGTCATGGACATGTCAGTGCTAAGGCACATCTACCAGCTGATCAGAGTTGTGTCCCTTGGCTAAAAGGATCCACTGATTGTGGGATCAAGTCCGAGATTCAAACTGATTAGGATCCGTGGTCTGTCAGTATACTTGTAGTTTTCATCAAAGTGGTAAATGTCTTTATCATCCAAACCTAGGTTCCCCAAACAGACAATGTTTTGCAAAATTACATTTTAAAAAAAATGACATCACTTATCTTTGTGCCACTGGTGGGTTGTACTTGTTAACACAGAAGACACTGGTTGTTAGCTACTGTTTACAAACTGAGAAAGTATGAAGAATGATTTTGGATGATAAATAGAACTTTTATCGACTTGAGTTGGTATATTTTAGATCAAGACTCTTGGATGAGATTCTCTTTATGCTGTTCATATATTACAATATAAAGCTAACACATTGTGATATCCAGTAACTGAATACTTTTCAAAGTGGCGTTAAACCTGGCTTACTCAGGCCCTTCATTGAATTATGAAAAATATGATAAGCAATGAACACACAAATGCCAATTAGAAAGTGGTCAAATGTAACAAATGATATATTTGGGATAACACTTTCTAAGTAATGTGCAGATTCTCATACTTTTGGGGGTTGAGTCCCATCGGGGGATTCGAACCCCCACTGCCAGAAACAGGCTTCCACAAAAATGAAAGTCTGACAACTTGTAGTCTAGATCACATACTTTGTGTACCCCTGTAATCCCTGATGGGACTCAACCCCAAAATGTACGAGAATCTGTACTTTAATCAGAAAGTTTATCCAAATATAACATTTGTTACATGGCAAGCAAGTTAAAAAAAATTTAGAAATTTTTTCTTCTAGAATTCTAAGTGATCTCTATTTTTCCGTCCTATCTTTTGTTCATTGTGGTCCCAATGTTTCCAACTTGTCTATGAAGGTGGCTGGATGCCTAAGCATCGAAAGAAGTTAAATTGATGCAGGATTAAATGTGAAGTGTAACTATTCAAGCGTTCAATGGGCCTGCATATACCGGTAATGTGTAGCTCAACATAACATACAGCTGGGTGATCAATATATGATTATGAATGTAATATATTCACTTAAATATTCTCATCAATAATCATCATCATACATCCTGTCTCATGAAATGATGGATTAGTCTGTACATTACTTTAGGTGTTGTTGACAGCCTTTGTAGATTTAATGCTAGTAATGAACAAATAATCAGAATTATACATTGTCCAGATGCTCATCTGGATGGGAAATTCCTCGATGTTATTACAGTACACTAAGTAGAGCTGAAGAAATGTCGACTAGCTCAGTACTCCTTGGAATAATGTGATCTGACATTGTTATTTTCCATATCCCAGTGTAAGTGATCTCACAAAAGTCAGTATCAGAATCTGACACTAATAAGAAATTAAGACAAGCCTATGGCGTGTAGATATTTCAGTTATTAAACTGTAAAAAGGCTTTCTCAGCGCAACTCACCTAATCCTAACCTGGCTGAACTAATTTCTGGGCCGAGTTTCAGTGTTTGCGATCCTATGCAGATCCCAAGGGTGGTGTGGGCACACTCCGCCTATCCGCCTTTACCTGAGGACATTCATACAAAATATACTTGTGTTGGTGAATAATGAGTCATGTTCTTACATGACTACCTGACACAATTTGCTGCGTGAAGTATCTGCCGTAATCCAGCATGTGTACGTTACTTGTGATCGCGAAGTGCACCATCCTTTTCAATAAGATGTATCCGTGCTGTGTGATTCACCACCTGTAGTGAGGAACTGCCACAACCACTATCAGAGACTGGCCTACTGAACCAACAAGCTGAAAGCTAGTACACATTCATCTGGGTTAGTAAATGTTCAGTGGCTTGTGAAGCTTGCGGACACTCACACCAGCAACAACCCTGTTCAACAATGTCTGCGATTGAATACCCAGAGCACTGCAAACATGTCTCATGAGAATAATTATAGTACTTACGTTTTGATAGGGATACTATATATATATATATATACCCCCATTGACCGGGTAATAATAAAGCACTTTCAGCATTCACTTGAATGGATCTGATGCATTATAAATGATATAAATGAAATTATTATTATTATTATTTACCAAGTGAATACATATAAAGCATGTAGTTTTCTAATGATTGTGTTCCAATTTTTGTTGTCATAAACTTCCTTCAGTGAAGGACTCATGGATGTATACTACTCAAAAGAAGTTAAGGACACCTGATTTTTTTTCGTATAAGTTAATTTGTCATAGGACAGAATCGGGTGTTCCTTAACTTCTTTTGAGTAGTATAAATCCATGAGTCCTTCACTGATGGAAGTGTAGCTGGTATGTAGAATATCAGTTGTGTACGGATCTGTGATGACATGCCAGTGATATCTTCTATTTTGTTCTAAATCTTCAATCTTATTTATGATGCTTATATTTGCTGGTTTGGGCATAATTTGTATCAAAGTTTTACTACTAGGAAAACAAGTAAACCTTCTTGTTGCTGGTAGGACAGTTTGTTAATCAAGAGTCAATTATGTCTACACATTGGGACAAGCATTCGTGCTGCCTGATTGTCAGCCATCTTGTTCAATATTAACCCTGTGATGGTGTTTTTGAAGTATCTTTGAACACAGGGCTTATCTGGAGTGGCTTATAATTAAAGTTATGTTGTTATTTTATGTACCCAGATGAAGAGTTTACCATACCATTAGAGGTACTCAATAAATTATTTTTGTGTCACTAACAAATACGACTTTATGTTTTTTATGCCATACTCAGCAGCTTTCAGAGTGAAGTGTAATAAAAAAAAAAGCCACACTGTTGTACTGTTGTAGATATTTTATACATCCACAACATTAAAGAGCGGCACAGCATCTACACCCAATAGGGTTACTACAGAGGTTATATTTGTGTTCTGTGATGGTTTTCTTTGGCCAAGATACAAAAATTCAAATCAAGGGGGTAAAGAAATAAAGCCTAAGTGTTTTTAGAAAGCTGGCTCAAGAACCCACACATCCTCCATTTTGACCGATGTCCTCGGATCTGGATGCAGAGAGGAATCGTATCTAAATAAAATATTTGATTTTAATGACATTGTAGCAAGTCTAAACAAGTGAGTGAGTTTGGTTTTATGACACTTTTAGCAACACTGCAATATCAGAGATGGGCTTCACACATGTGAGGAATCAAACCCAGGTCTTCAGAATGATGAGCAAACGCTTTAACCACTAGGCTACCCCACTTTCTAAACAAGACGAATCATTTCTTGATGGCATCAGCAACGATGCATGACATCAGGGTTATCATGATCATGTTATCACCCCGATAATCCTCATTTATCATATAATGGGTAGGTTTCTTGGCAAGATAAAGCCAACGGACAAAAACGATATCTGCTGGGGTCATATGCGGATAGAGATGCAAATATCAAAGGTCAAGTAGGGACTACTTTCTTAGTGTTTATAAACAAACATGGCGTCGCCCTTGTCATTCAGCGATCGAGTCAGAATTAAGTATCGGGAATCTGGATATACTACAGGAATAGTTGCTATCATTATCAAAAGAACAGTCAAATATACTGAAAATCAGTGTCTAACTGTGACTTATTCTCATCCAGAGTCCCCAGAGGGAATCATCACATAACATCCTTCAAATAAGAAGTACATGTTATTTGGATTAAAAAACTTATAGTTTTGGCAACTTTGGAGATATACATTTCGAAACAATTTTGCGAGGGCACAAGGCCTAGCCAAGCGGGATCAGTAGCCATATCTGTGCTTGTAGACCTCTGCGGCTTGAAACCTTCTCCACAAATAAAAATAGTTGGGATTTGGGCGAAATATGTTTGAATTGTTACCTGGTTGGTTTTGTCGCTGTGTGTACATCTGACTACACTTCTTAACGTTATGACAGGACAGACAGACTGTCAACAACGTCTGACCGTGGCCATGACGTCTCATAGAGTAGGGTTAGAGTAGCTTCCCTTTGACAAAGGGCAGTTTCTCTAGCGGACAGACCGATGGATTGCCGCGAAAGGCAATTAAAAACAATTGTTGTTTTGCGTATATGTTGCTTCGCCTCTGTACAAGAAACAGATTTCAGTTGGAACTATATTGGCTACTGTCACTGTCCGACTGACACATCACTTACCCTGTGACGTAATAAATATTAATGCGCGCATTCCAGGAAAACTCGCAATGTTTCGGTAATGTTTGTGAGAGAGGGAAAGCGATTTTGAAGCACAGAATTAAAGAATGACATTACATGATATGTCTTGTCACCAGCATGGGGAGCTAGAATCCTGACTTGATTAACTTTGGATAACACTGCACTCTGCAGTATTCCAGCAATCCCAGCAGATAAACTATCAGTTGACAGCAGTAAATTATTGAAACATTGCTGCAGTCTGCACAGAATGTCACATGATCAGCCAAGTCAACAAGACATATTACCCGATCCTCTTTAGCGGGTATGCAAATTGACCTGAAATATTTCCTTGCCCAAATAGCGATAACATATAACACCCTGAAATTAACGCCTAAAATTCTCCAAACTCACATAAGACCTCATAAGACAAAATTCCTAGGGCTAGCGCCTCGTAACAATTTGCATACCTGCTTCAGTATGCTCTTAATCTGGTATGCCAGTTACCTTGGAGGACAGGTCATCCATGCTGTGTTATCCAAAGCTCACACAACCATCTAAGCAGGGATGGAAATTAGTACTTTCCCAAACCAAAAGTTATCTAAGCCTTTAGGGCTAGAAGAATTTCAAACATTTTGGGGGGGTACTGCTATATGCTATCAATAGTCAGGCAAGGAGATGTTCCTGGTTAACTTTAACTCAACGATATCCTAATCGACAATACACTTCATGTACCGTATCAAAACACATTGTTTCACAAATTGATCTAATGAAATTGAGCTGCAAATCATGATGTTATATCCTAAGGTGTATCCTTGACCTTGGTTTGTCCTTGACTTTGGTCTCAGATCATGTTATCTTGTGGCTGTCAGTTTCTGCTTCAAGAACAATCTTGTCCGAGTCATAACATACAAAGCTGTACTGTTATATTAACATTTATTGATGACTGTGTTGTATATGCATGAATATCCCCCCCACTCCCAACCCTCCCCTTGTGACGGCCTCCATCTTGCCACCAGGCTTGTGTCTGCTGCCGATCAACTGAAATGTAAGATAAT